CGCAGATGCACAAGGAAGGACTAGCATTCAGACCTTATGTAGATGCTTGTGATTTCTTCGACCGGCCGTTTATCTCATACAACATAGGAATGTGAAATGCTGCAAAGTAAGCCCCAATATTCTAGAAATTCAGCCGTCAGATATTATTTGTAAGTGCTTCTGTATTCGTACAGACATGTACGTTGCCTCATACTTCTCCAGGAGCTGCTTAGAATGATTGCATCAACCGTCGGCATTCATGTATTCAATGACGAGCGGGCTAATGAGAGTGTAAATTTTGTTTGTATCAAATTTACTTAGTGCTTATAGAACAAAGAGAAGACTTACGCTGTGTTAGCGAAACGTGGTTCAAAAGAATTCTTCGTAGTCGCGAAAAAATGGATGGCGTCGGATGAAATGTGCGTGTATCACAGAAATGTAACAAGGTCTGAATTTGAAGCATGTAGATCGGATTGGCTCCCAATTTCCTGTCAGATCTTAGCCGAGCAAGGTAACTGTTTCGGTGTTAACTACATTCCCGTAATTGGACTCTTTTGTAGAAGCCAAGAGTACTTTTTCAATTGTACTACGGATGCACAATATCCTGTCCAATTCAGATAATCTCTGGGAGACCTTGCCCCTAGCTAATACTAAACGCCGACGGTAAATTCTTCTTCCTGTTTAATGACGGAATACAGAGTGAAGACAAAGAACTACGCCTCGTACATTTATGACTCCGCTGAAGTGGAAGCAGTGGAGGCACAGAAAGTGTATAGGCCATCTAAATACCCTAAATAGCCATGTATGTAGGTATATATACTTACATGCTGTACCAACCATTCCGTTCTCATCGTGACTAACCAGACCTCTGTGTATTTTATACTAATTTAAGGACCTCCGAAAAGAATAATCAAGCGACAATTGAATTTGCATGAAGTCATCACCTCTTCGTAACATTGTTTCCATTCTTGATACTCCCGCGAAGTCCTTAGATCTTGATATGGGATGAATTCATTAAATTCAGCAAATAAATTCTCTGCGATATCATTCTATCCTGAGCTGTAATAGTATGTGTTGTCAGTTACGCACCCGACTTGATAAAACGCTCCTGTCTATTGCAAAGTTCACCGAGCGTCTAAATGAGGTTTGAAATTATCGCAACTCCAATGACAAATTGGTCGATCACAAGAGAGTAAATCACCTGTTTATCTCACTCGTGGGCACACGAAATTACGCCCGTCGACTAGTGTATATATGTTCATGTCTGTAAAAATGGCTGGTTTCTGTTCCCAGTTTGCGCGTATTTTAACTGCACTCACAGACTTACTTAAAAGTATGTCCAAGACATTAGGCACGGCACCAGAGGCTCAGGAAGCGTTGAAGAAAACTGAGATGGCGATCGCGGGAGAAACCATTCTAGTCCATCTATAAGTCCAACCTACAATCAGCATCTCTGTTGACGCATCTAACACAGCCATTGGAGCTGTACCACAGCGACAGGTGTGTACCTTACGGATACCGGCCGCGTTTATCTCCTGGAAGTTGCCCGCATCTGACGCAAGTTATAGCCTTTTTGGCAGAGAACTCCTCGCCATTTATGCTGCCACCAAACATTTTTAACACTTCATCGAAGTTCGGCAATTCACGTGTTCATCGACCATAAACCACTAACGGATGCCCTCCGCACTACCGAGGACAGGTACTCTCCACGTGGACTGCGTCACTCCGACTATAATTCACAGTTTATTTCAACACGTTTCTGGGGCTGACAACCCTTTTGTAGATGTTTTGTCTCGAGTATGAACTATTTCAGTACCATCAGCCATTGGCCCTAATAAAATATTTGAACTTCAGCTCGCGGATTTAGACTTAGAAAAGCTGTCACAAGAAACCTCCCTAAGGATGGGACATGTCCTTCTGGCGAGTAGCGAAGCGACTATTCTATGTGATACGTCCACATGTACTCCTCGGCCTATTATTCCCATGTCCCTACGCCGCACCTTATTTGACTGTCTTCACAACCTCTCAAACCCAGGAATAAACGCAACGGACAGGTTGATATCTGCTAGATTTGTGTGGCCTGTTATAAATTGTGATGTGTGTGATTGGGCGTGCTCTCGTGTGAAATGCCAACGCACTAAAGATACAAAGCATAATATCACGCCATTTGGGTTTTTCGTGACACCAGACCCCCGGCTTAACCATGTATATCTTGATATCGTAGGTCCACTACGTCACTCAAATGGCCACTTGTACTTGCTTACGTGTGTTGATCGTTGTACACGTTGGCCAGAAGTTATTCTAGTCCCAGACGTAACGGCTGAAACCATCTGCCGCGTTTTCATTGAGTGATGAGTTGCGCGATTCGGATTCCCTTCTTCGCTGACTACTGACCTTAGGCAACAGTATGAATCAACAACTTTTGAGAAGCTTGTAGAGCTGCTGGAATGAAAACGCATCAGGACGACTGCGTATCATCTATCAGCAAATGGACTAGTAAAGAACTTTTATAACCGATTGACAGCCTAGTTAATGGCAGTAGATAAAAGCAGGTGGACAGAGCCTCTGCCTATAGTCCTACTCAGTATTCGTTCTACACTCAAGGCGGATCCTCAGTGTACCTCAGCATAGTTACGGCACCATCCTTCGTTTACCGGGTTACGTAATCCCTCCTGAAAGTTTTGAGCCAAGCCTTACTGATGTCAGCTGTTATACTCAGAGTCTAAAACACTTTATGCAGCGACTTCGACCAACCCCCATACGTATTCAAAACAAGATAGTACGCGTAAATACTCGACTAGATGATTCTATATATGATTTCGTGCGTTACCATGCAATGCATAAACCACTACAGCCTCAATATGACGGACTTTTCAAGGCCCCAAGTCGGAAAGAAACGTTTTCCGTTATTGAACGACTTGGCCGCCACGACACTGTAAGCATTGACAATCTCAAGTTGGCAGGCATTGAAGGACCCTTACCCTCCACATCCGCCTCCCCCCCAAACACTTGCACTGAATCTATTCACAGTCAAGATTCTACAGTGGTGAGAGCAGGCTGCTAGCCGAATTGGTAGACATTAATTTACGTCAATATTGGTCGTGAGAAAATATGAACAAGACTGATTCAACAACCAATTACGGCAAACTTTGCGTGAACAGATACAGTTAACATATGGATGATCTGACATTCAAGAAGCAGTCACAAAGAGATGCAAGGTCGAACTTCTGTGAGAAACAACCAATCGGTAGAGCGTGTCTGTTTGCTTGAATAAGCTATAATAATGTACATGAAAATATATAAATACGTGTTGATTTTCTTAATAAACGATCTGTTGCCTGACCCTTGTCTTCTTTTGTTATACTACTACTGGTGTAACAACAGAAGACAAGGGCCAGGCAACAGATCGTTTTATTATGAAAATCAACACGTATTTATACATATTTCAGACAACATTATTATAGACAAGCGCAGTCATCTGATTGGTTGTTTAGGTAGACAAACGCAGGCTTCTGATTGGTTGTTTCGGGATTCCTTGACAAACAGAGTTCTCTATCTGCGAATCATATTTTGCCACGTTAACTTCGCTGTGATTGGTTGTTGACTCAGCCTTGTTCACGGCCCATATTAGTGACCTAGACCTTAACGTAGATTAGTGCCAACCAATCGGCTAGCAGCCTGCTCTCACCACACTCGTCCCCCCGTCAAATACGTGCGACTGAAGTCGGCTTGATCTACTTGGTGCAGGCGTCATCGTTGGCTTGTCTCGCTGTATCCATTTCTGGAGCTCGCTGACGTTCACGCGCCTCTCATTGTTCGCCATTGCGACTGTGTCTGCGTAACCCCATCTCGAAGTGACCATATATGGTCCTTCCCACTTTGGAAACTGTTTGCCTGACCCTGTCGAACATTCGTCCATACTTCGGCCCACACCTTCATATGCTGCTTTCGCCCGACCTCCCAGCAGCGTCTCAAGTAGCAGCTCCATCGTTGACAGATCTTGAACGCCACTCAACTGCGCAGAAGCCTTGAAGTCCTGCCCGAAGATCCATATGTCTCCATCAAAAACTGCAGGGTATAGGCTTTTCATTTGTCGGTAGGCAGCGACACCAAATGTAACAACAGAAGACAAGGGCCAGGCAACAGATCGTTTTATTATGAAAATCAACACGTATTTATACATATTTCAGACAACATTATTATAGACAAGCGCAGTCATCTGATTGGTTGTTTAGGTAGACAAACGCAGGCTTCTGATTGGTTGTTTCGGGATTCCTTGACAAACAGAGTTCTCTATCTGCGAATCATATTTTGCCACGTTAACTTCGCTGTGATTGGTTGTTGACTCAGCCTTGTTCACGGCCCATATTAGTGACCTAGACCTTAACGTAGATTAGTGCCAACCAATCGGCTAGCAGCCTGCTCTCACCACACTGGACCTACGGTGATTCATGATAATTGTGTAATTGTGTGTTTCGGAATGTGTCCCTCACATCATATTCCATAGAACATCTTTCATTAATTTTCCTTGACTAGTCGACTGACCTATCTATCAGCACTTCAAAGTTAGAATGCTAGCCAACCATGCACCTGGTTCTAGGATAGATAACCAGCCGCTGTATTCCCAAACCTTTCTAAGCTGGTGGTAAACCATGTTGTGAAGGAAGGTTGGGCATGAGGCTGACAACCTGACCTTCTTAAAAAGCCCCACTGCTACCCAAGCTCCCGATACCCAGTTCGAAGCCTTTAGTTCAGTGAGGAACGTAAGGGAATAAAGCAAAATAAATAAGATGAATAGTTTTACTTTACTTCGTTTCTGTTATCTCTAATATCCATACGGTTTTACGCCTCCAATCTCATTTATTTTCATCACTAGCATTACTATCTTAAACATCATTGTCTAATTTTTTAAATTCGAACTGACTGACTTGCATCTTTGAACATTGCTTTTAACAACCTATTCAAGTAATTTGTATGAGTTGGCGCTAAAACGTGTACACATATTCAACGTCAAAGTCAGGATGAGGTTGACAGATGTCTTTGCAGTTGTCTGCATCCTACTGTACCATGTTGCGACAATTCAAGGTCTGAGATTTAAACTGAAGGATGGTGTAACGAAATGCATCCAGGATGAGGCTCATAAGGACATTATTGTTCATGGAGAATATGAAGTTACTTCTCATAACAAAATTGCTCATATCAAAGTCCGTGATGCGAAAAAGCATATTCTTTACCAAAGGGAAAATATAAAGAGTGGGAAATTTGCCTTCACTACAGAAAACTTTGAAATATTTGAAGTGTGCTTTGAAAGTCAACCAAGTAACAACTTTATCGTTATCTAAAATTCATTAGGCAATGATGAACAGGATCAAGAAGTTTTCCTTATCATTAAACACGGTACTGCAGCCAAAGACTTTGAAATGGTTAGTCTTTTTACAATTTTTTATTCCTTAATAGCTTGCAAAAGCAGAAAAGCTACAGCCAATTGAAGTAGAGCTTAAGAAACTTGAAGGTTTGGCTGATGAAATTGTTCAAGAATTTACTCTCATGCATGCTAAGAGTAGTGCAATGCGAGAAATTAACGGTAAGCTTGATTGATACATTGGTATGACTTTGTGTTTTGGATGAACGTCGCATGTAGGCAAGAGTAGCATTTGTAGGCTGACACCCAACTTTTCTAGACAAAGTTGTCACATACTGTGTTGTGTTTTGCTACTAAATCGCATAGAAGTGATGAAAAGAGTTCATAATTGTTATAAATTTCTTAGACTAATTCCAGCGTGTTTTAGCAGAAGGCAAAACAAGATTTTTCTGAACGTTTCTCCGTGTAAAGCACAGATTCTTCAGTAGAATTATCGGATTATTTGTAAAATCTACTGTCTGGAAGCTTATAACATATAATTGTGTTAAGGATTTTACAGAATCAAGAAAAAAATTTACAACTTGTTAGAGTAGATGAGGTTGTTTTCTGTGTGATTTTTTACTTTCACTAATTAAAGTCGCATGCATGAATGCAACAGACCGACATACTGGGCACACATTTAGGCGTTGCGGTGTCACTCTTCTGTCATAGCAGGTACGTGGATATATTGAAATCCTTGTGTCAATGTTCACTGTAGGAATGGTGATAATGGTATTATTCATTACCTTGAGTTCCGAGTTGGGAAACGGCTTCAGTTGCACAACTGTTTCATCCTGTCCTCTACAGTCCTATTTGGATGGCTCTCCCTATTGACCATAAGCTCTCTCGAATGATCTTCACGTCAACCTCAGACGCCCAAATCATTGTTTCTCATTCGAACTCTACTCTAAGACCTGGCACCTGATGCCTTACAAAGATCTTGTTAGCGTATGTCCAGTCCACCTGCACATTTGTTTGGCAATAGTTTCCTAGTTGGTTGCCAACGTACTATCACACCTATTTATATTACCTGGTCACGGTAGTCATGTCACACTCCCATTGACTAGCAAAGTGTGCCCAGCTGTGAATCGCGGTCTTAATGACCACGATAAGTAGAAAATTTTGATGGGCTTTAAGTATTCCTATCTCTTCATGTATAATAAGCCTTAAGTGACCTCTCACAATGCACTAGCATCTATTTGAAGTTCGTCATTCCCAAAGAAGACACCACTTCGTGAGTAATTGACTCCGTGACCTCCAGACTTTCGGGTGAGAATCCAAAAGCTAGACTTTCTTATCTATGCTGTGAGCTGTGGCACTGTTATTTCGATAAGTATTATACTTTACATATAATGTATTTGAATCTCTTATTTCTCAAACTTTTTCTAGAATCCACTCACAAAAGAGTTCTTTATTTCTCAACACTTTCAATGATAATCCTCATTGGTTTCGCTTGTTGGCAAGTTTTGTATTTGAGGCGTTATTTCAAGTCCAAGAAGCTGATTGAATAAAGCATGGGTCGAACGCTCATCACTCTGTTGGCTTTTACTTTATATGCCTCATAGATATTCCCTTGTGGCTTTGTGAACGCCTAACACATGACGATTCTTGTACAAATTTTTATCTCATAGACATAAGAATTCCACTATTGAGTGCTGGTTTTATATCTTACTTGGTATCTGTATGTAAAATCTATTGTTGTGTAGTTAGTAACATCGTGATAATTTGTCTCAGTTAATTACTATGTATTGTTTTTTTGACTTTCCTCAATAAATATGTTTTTAAAATGCGATGCCTTTCAATACAGCTTAAGTATCTCAGTATAGTCCTTTGTTGTGCCTCACCGTCGAAATGGATGACAACAATCACTCAGTTATATGAAAATCACATTATTGACTTCTGATGAGGCATTCTCAAAAATATTTTCTTAGTTCTGAATTCCAAAAATAGATAGCAACTATGTAAGCGACGCGTTCTGAAGTACCATTTATTATACGGCCTACATGACGAAGTTGCTTGCTCGTTAAAGCCTAAGATCATGATGTCTAAAGTCACTAAACTTTGTTTATGGAAGAGACGTGGTGTTTTATGGGGCAGAAACAAATGTGACGTACCCCAGAGGATGACAACCAGTTGTATTCGCTAAATACGATTCTACTATTCATATTCGTCTTGCAGGAAGTGTTGTGATGGATGTAACTCTTGTTAGCCCTACCTTCTCAGGGGAAGAATCGCTGCCTGGAGAGCATATGATTTATTTCAACAACTTAGTATGCAGGTACTACGTGTTGTGAACTTCGACTCTGCTCCAAGCCTCTCAAGAAGTGTCTCAAATCATTTGACACGCCTCTTTATTGCTTGGCGGCTCGTCCGGGACTGGCTATTAACTCAAAAGTATGAGATGCAGTGATCGAACCCCCCGATACTTGTACAAGTTTACATTCATATCCCTTATTAACATAGTTCGCCTTTACTGGTACTTCGGGGGGTTGTTGCTTAATTCAGTTGAAACCGTAAATTCGCATTGATCAATGGTGGTATCCCAGGTTAAAACAGTGAAACACCATGTTATTAATAACAGTGATGACTCCTTGTTCGCGGCACTCAGATGATTCAACTGGGATTGTGATGCTGCTAGTCAGCAGATGCTTGGAGAAACTGTGATGAGATATTACATTTGCCTTATGCTCTCTGAAGCAATATGTCCAGAAATACTTTTTCATGAGGTGACTTCACAAAACGAAGCAATCTTAATACGATTATGTCACCAGTCATCTGGTGATCTCATATCCTGCTAAATTTCCACCTCACATCATTACCCATAAAGATGCAACATGCGCTCTAAAGTACCTTTGCCGTACATCTAACACTATCAGTTTTTGGGTGGTGAGTAGTTTGGTTACATATCGTGCGGAAGCTATATACATGAATAACGTGTGTAAGCAACTTGCAAAAGAAAGGCTTATAAGTAGGAGTGTTCCAGGGAAGATGTAATGCATTAGGACTGCTAGTCGGTTCACATCTAGATCGTTCATGTCACCTGGCTGTTGATTCTCAACACCGTTATTATGTCGGCCAGAAAATTCACCTAACACACCCTGGTTTGTTATTTCCATTCGACGGGAATAATGACTTGGTGTTCGACGCTCCGGTGACTGTCGTACAGACCTTCACAAGACTGTTTTATACTTCTGCTTGGATTACAACAGTGTAGGTAAAGTTTTCGCTGTATCCGAATCTTCAATCCAATTCAGTCATCCGCCTTGAAAGTCATATGAATACTGTATACACAAACTGAAGGCTTGATACCTTCGTCAGCTGAAAGTCTCAAGTCAACTCTCGTCGACCATTGTTATAAATACATAAATAGCAAACGGAAACTAAATAGCTTATTGACCAAGAAACATAGGGAAGCCCTGGATAAGCTACGAAATAATGAGAATATAATAATTGCGAAACCTGATAAAGGTTCTGGAGTAGTAATCATGAGTAAGACAGAATACGTAGATAAGATGAATGAAATACTCAGTGATCACTGAAAATTTCATCGTCCATCGATCCAGCTGAAAAAGTTGAGTAACAACTAATTGAGTCACTAAAAAGACTTAAACAACAAAGTAGTATCACAGAAGGTCTATATGGTCTCTAAAACCTACTGGCACGGTTACACCAAGATTATATGGACTATTAAAATTGCATATAACTGGTTTGCCACTTCGACCAGCGCTATGCATGTGTAGTTTCCCATGTCACGTAACAGCAAAATGGTTAGTGAAGTTCCTGAAACCTGCATAACGAATTGGTAAAACCATAGCATAAACGGTAGTTTTAAATTTGTCGGAAAAATAGATCTTAATGTGAGTGACAAGTTTAAGGTATCTTTGGATGTATCCTCTTTGTTCACCAATGTACCGTTAATGGAGACAGTGGATTTTATGTGATAAGATTACTACGCGAAACATAGACATTGGCATTCCTGTATCCTCCTTCGAGGAACTTATTTTTAGATGTACAGTGAATGTTCATTTATTTAATAAGGAATATTACAAACAAACTGATGGTGTAGCTATGGGTTCCCCATTAGGTTCAATCCTAGCTGATTTTTTCTTCGCTAAGTTAGAGAATGGATTACTGAAAGGAGTAATTAATGAGTTGGAATCCTACTGTCAATATATGGATGATACATTTGTAGTTATGAGAAACGAGAATGAAACCATTAACATCCTCGAAAAGTTTAATGATGCCCATTCAACAATTAACTTTACCATAGAGAAAGAAAGTTATGACAGTATCTCATTCCTAGATGTCTTCCTAGCAAGGGAAGACGATGGCACATTCAGAAGGAGTGGGTATAGGAAACCTAAAACAAGTCAGTAGACTCACTTCTTTGGGTTTTGCACCTTTGAAATATAACCGTAACCCGATAAAGTGCCTGGTTGATTTATAGAGCTAGGTTAATCTGTTCAAACGACTGCCTCAATGAAGAGCTTAAGAGTACTAGAGAATTACTTAATAAAAATGGGCATCTAGATAAGTTCATTGGGAAAAATATGAATTCAGCACCTAAGAGAGTCAGTATGGCAACAAGTTCGAAAAAACCACTGTTCATATAAGTGCAGTTCCTCGGTGACAGTATCGGCGAAATAATAACACAGAGCCTGAAGGGTGCAGTTAAAAGAACTTATAATGCAGTAGAGGCACATTGTCTCTTCGCTACCACTCCTACTCTACGTACGAGAAATAAGGATAAACTGCTTAAATTTGCCTCTCCTATGTGCATCCACCGGTTTGACTGCAGCTACATAGGGCGTACAGTTAGGCAGGTTCATCATCGTATTTTCGAACATCATCCAGCACGATTGAGCAAGTGACAAACAAGATCTACTCGTAGCTCTAGTCTAGCACACATTTTAGATAGTCGGCATAAGGTCGACATTAATACAGCATTTAAAATTATTCATCGCATTCCTACTAGTCTTAATTTCGCTTTACGAGTTCGCCTTCTACATACAGCTGAAGCAATAGTAATTCACCTTAAGAAACCAAACCTGTGTGTTCAGAAAAAATTTGTACAGCCACCTTGCTTACCTTGGCCATCGTAACATGAATGCATAAAACGATCTACTTCGCCCCGCCAAACCTTTAAAAATTACAATTGTCCAAATTATTTTATTATTTTGCTAACTACTTCATTTTAATTTATTTTATTTAACAGTCTGTTACGTAATCAACTTGAGCACATGCTTATTCCTTAATTAGTCTTCATTTTTCCAGAATTATGCATATATATATATATATATATATATATATATATATATATATATATATATATATATATATTAGAGTAGAGCCAGAGATGAGGATCTAATTGCAAAGTAAATCCGCTTGCTTTCTAAACGTATTAAATTATCCATGGGTAGTTAAATACCTTAACTGCGCTACCAAGGAAGTGTAGTATTACGTCACAAAACGAATTGACTGAAAGTGTCATAGTCAAGAAATACTATAAACTCATACTTACTTAGCGCAGTTGTTTTGTAACTTTATGAATTTCATAGTAGTTCAATATTGTTAACTGAATAATGATGTTCTGTGCACGATCTACTGTCTATGACCTCATAAAAACAAGACACTGTACGCAGTAACTTCATCCACTGATTATTACTAGGTCAACATATGATTTACCATACATAGAAGATGATACCTAACATTGGGACACCTTACCCCAGTATTAACTTTTCTTTTTTACTTCCGTTTTTATATATACATACACCATATATGAGCTTACAAGGAAAAGCAATCATATGTATAATGTATGTACATGACCTATCTAAATATGATTGGTCATTAGTATGTACTTTTGTTTTTATTTAACTGAGTAATTTTCATGAACTTTATTTTATCATTGTTAACCATGTTAGTTGTAAAGCGGTTGTAAAGAAACTACGAAATGATATCATCTCGCGAAATTTGTCTTCTTAATGCCTTATTCATAATTATTTTTGTTTGCAATTATCAAAACTATACAAATCATATAATAAACAGGTAAAACGATAGATTGGTATGAATACAACTAAGCTTGTTCTATGTACAAATTGTAAAAAAATAAACAAACAAATATAATATAATATTAAGAATACCACTATACAAAAATTGTGCGAGTGAGAAAAAAATAGATCATGTAATTCCAATTCTGACGTAATTAACAATTTCTGATAACATAGGGGCATCAATATTCAAATCAAAAAATGATAGAAGCGCATAGTCAACAAAACGTGATTCATTTCCAGATAATGTTGCGGAACATAGTTGTGGTGCATTCCACTTAAACAAACGTTCCAAGCATTCAATTTCAGTGATAAGTGATCTAGCGTTTGACGCTCCACAAACCATTGCACAGACTTTAACAAGCCATTTAATACTTTTACTTGGATTACAACAATGTAAGCAAAGAGGTTTTTCTGTATCTGAATCTTCAGTTTCAACGACAGTATTCACTCTTAAATCTAGAAATAAATAAGTTATATATATATATATATATATATATATATATATATATATATATATATATATATATATATATAACTAATAAGAATAGGATAAAATTTAACGCGGAAAATATGTGAAATCAGTGGTTGAATTGGACAGTGTCCTCTCTTTGCTGCAAACAATCTAATTAAATACCTATCACAATACTTTTACCCTTAATACAATTCTTTGTGATCATAAATAAACCATTCTGATATATATGTTGAAAATACTCCATATAAACAAAACAGTATGCAGGACACTATAATTTTGTTGCAAATATTCTTCAAAATGAAACAAATGAATTGCTCGTATGACCTTTAGTCACTTTCTAATCTAACAAGGTATTAAACAGGGTATCATCTTCATAAATATGTATACGCTTGAATTAAAGTGGAGTTGTCCCTCTTCTGATAGTATGAATTCAGGCTTTTCTTTTCACAAAATTCGGAGGGTAATTGAATACAGGAATCACCGATATATCAGACAAACTAAATCCTTCAAACACAAAATAGCCGCAAAACAGTATAAGACCCTACGCTTGGATGTAGATATTATAAAGATAAACACATGCTAATATATTTGAGAGAAATGAATACTTTTTTTCCATTGTTTGGTTTGCAAGGGTTAGTTATGTTTTCACGAGTTAGACCACAGATTGATATCAGTTAGAGAACCATTGGAAACCAGCACTGGAGTACTGGACAGCTGTGTCATCCTAGTTTGGGAATCATTGACAGTACGCACCCACTACCATGGCTCTAACTCAGGACCTTCCGGTTACAAGACAAGCTGACTCGTATACCATTCAGCCACTGGGACCCGATTCAATGGCCAGCCCATGAATTCTAACTTCTACAAATTCGTGATTTAGCGCGACCCCAACCAATGTCGTAGGTGGGACATCCATCCTCACGCAGGACATGTGTCCAGTACTCCCTAGTTTTCAATGGTTCTCTAAGTGATATCAATCCGTGATCAACTCGTAAACACATAAATGAATACATTATACAATCTTACTTACACAACTTACACTTGGTACAAATTATACAGAGAACTATGTAAATAGATGATTCATAAGATATATTTGTAAACAACTCAAATAGAGATTCGAATTTCCTGAGATATGGTAATAATTAAGGTGGTTTACAAACTTCCCAACTAATCAGAACTTTACAACTATAAGACACATTCACGGACTGATATGGAAAGTAGACTGTACCGAATGCTTTAATGCTAACAACTGTGAGACATCATACTAAGTTATTATTTAGTTGATGATGGCTGACTAGCAATGGAATCCACGATGTGCATTTCACTCTATTTGGGATAGGTCACTGGATGTATCTCCATTTTTACTCTCAGTCACCATCAACCATCAGAGACATCGTCGAAGCACCCGTACTAGGAACCAATATTTCAACAAAGACTGAGCGTTTTACTCCATTACAAATCAGCCAACGGGAAACACAAAAGAAATCAAACATCTTATGAAGTTTCCAGCTATTCATTTTTAGTGTTACGGAGACACTGGCTAGGCAACCTGTATTTAAATTCACGTGTATGCCATAGTTTGGTCACTCCCAAATCTTTCTCAACCGAATCCACTTCTTGTCAACATTGTTGACAGACAAAAACAATGGCTGACTCGGCGTGAGTACGACATATGAAAGCCGTCTTACAACACTAAACAAGTCAGTGCATTTAACAGGTTCACATTTTATCATTCATTCAACTTGACAAAGGCAAACTGCAGCAAGTTAAACATACACAAGTAGCCTTTTATGGTATTTTCAGCTTCTTGATTTGAAATGAAAATATCATGCGTGTCGTGGATCGAAATGTCTTATTTACAGCCTATTAATTAACAAGATCGTATAAGAATTCTCTACTAGCTTATACCGAGTTACTTGAGCACTTTCTTTAGAATACACGGAACAGAAAATAAAATGTATTTAAAAAAGAATGGATCGTAAATTTATGATTTACAAAACTAGTTAAATCAGAGAGCAAAATCTTTTCAACTGAATAAAACATTTTTGTACGAAGCGTAAAAACCTTTATAGGCATACACAAATGAAATATAACACGTACACTGTAAAACAGTGAGGCAAGGCTGTCTACTATCACCAATGACTTTCCTGATTGCAGTAGATTGGATAATGCGACAAAGAGCAGACAATGAGGAAACAGACATAAAATGGACTCACACAAAAAACTTGGAGGATCTGGACTTCGCCAATGATATATGTCTGATTTTCCACAAACTGGAAGATATCTGTCTGGATTCAACATAGAACTTAGCACCGAAGTGCAGCAGTTCGAGTTGCCACTGGAAGATATGCAAGTGAAAAGCAACAAGTTGGCAAAAGAAGCATCCAGAGAAGATAGGACTTCCTCCAGGTGAACACAGAGAAAACAGAGGTAATGAAGATTCCAGGCCAACAACAACAGACGACAATCAGCATAAATGGGAGGAACCTGAAAGAAACAATCTCCTTTACCCACCAACCTAGGAAGCATCGTTTCAACTACAGGCGGGACTGATGAGGATATCAAAGCAAGAATCGGAAAAGCAAGACAAGCTTTCATTACTCTTAAGTCTGTGTGGAGGTCAACAGCACTCAGCATCAAAAATAAGATCCGGATTTTCAACTCCAATGTGAAGTCAGACAGTGCTACTATACCGATCAGAGACTCGGCCATCGCGTCATAAAGAGCATCTCAAACAAACTATACACCTTCATCAACAGTTGTCTTCGCTCAATACTCAAGATCAGATGACCGGCCAGAAAAGATCAGAAACAGAGAGGGATCTCTGGGAGTCAACCAACCAGGAACCGATTGTGAAACAAATAGGCAGGAAGAAATGAAGATGCATTGGCTGGCCATACTCTGAGGAAACCATCAAGTGACATCACTAGACAAACCACTGCTCGAGTGGAACCCAAAAGGGAAGCGACGAGTTGGTCGTCATCGCAAGGGTGACTTGGAGGAGGTCATGTGAAGAGGAGATTAAAGCGTGTGGGCAGACTTGGAGCAGGGTGAAAAGGTTGGCAGAAAACCGAACGCACTGGAGACGCCCGGCTGAAGCCCTATGTTCCCCTAGGAATTAAAGGAAATAATATTACTGTAAAAGAGAAATGAAGGCAAATTATATGCATACATACAGACATACTTACCACTTGAAGGATTTCTGTCATCTTCAGATTGAGACACTACACCACGATGGTCTAATGCTTTAGATAAATTTTCATTATGTTTAGCAATCAAATCTTCAACTGGTTTTGGTAATAAAAATGACATTTTGTTACGATTTTTCCATAGGTTTTTATTTGTATAGTTAAAAGACCATTCACCAGTACATATTGGAAAGTAATCAGATCGTATATCTATTAAATTTAACCACCATTCTCTTATAGCATGATTGTTAAACGTATAAGATTGACTAAATGTATTATAATTATGATTATTAGATATTGGAAAATATTCATTGATATTAATATTTTCATCATATAAATAATTTAATTGTGTTTTACGAAATGGACTAAGTAGACCATCTTGTTCATAACTTGAAAGTAAAATAGGTTTAGGAGATATAGATTGAGTACTTTTAGCACTACTGCTGAATATAAAACTATCATTAATCTTTTGATGACGCTCTTGTTGCTGGGATTGATTATAAGTAGTTGAAGAGGAGGAATTCGTCGTCATATCATTTTCATAAAGATTACGCAATGGTTGTGATAATGACATTTTAACTGAAGCCTAGGTGAATAAAGAAATGATTCAGATTAATCAATTGGTAAAGGCTTTAAACTATAACAATATACTAATGTAATACTTACTTTTTTGTCAGTCATGAAAGTTTATTACTTTTGCGAAAATTAACATTTATTGTAAACGGAAAAAGAAGATATTCAAGTAATGGTTTTGTAGGGATTTTGTTATTTTTTTTTTTTTTTGATTACAGCTTGATTCCACACCGTATTTTTGGTACAAGTATGGAATTTTCAGCATGGATATCGGTAGCCCAAATTTCGCAGGCCGACCATAGATATCAGGTGTGCGTCGGCGTGGGCTCGAACCCCGGACCATATGCATGGTCGGCGAGAGTCCTAACCACTGTGCCACCGACGCACGATTGGTTGAAGGATTTCATCATGAGCTGACGTCAGTTAGAGAGAGAACCATTGGAAAACCTGAGAGCACTGGACAACTGTTTCGTCCTGGCTTGAGACTCTTTAGTAGTACGCACCCACCGCCAGGGTTTGAACCCGGAAGCTTCAGGCTACCATTAGAGCTTGTAGATCATTCAGCCACTATGTTATGAATTGGCAGAGGTTGGAATTCATGGGCCGCTGGATCCGGTCCCAGTGGCTTAATGTTATACAAGCTCGTTAGCTTTGCAACCAGAATGTTCTGGGTTCGAACTCTGGCGATGGGTGCGTACCGATGAAGAGTCCCAAACAGAGACGAAACAGTTATCTAGTACTCATGATGAAATCCTCTAACCAATAAAAAAGATGGTTGCAGCAAGGAGAGTTTTCCTTTAGACAAAGTCATCAATTAGGCTATAGATTCGTGAATATATAACAAAGGGTTGAAAAAGCCCTGGCGACATTTCCGGTCGATGATCCAATCAAGACGAATAACAAGATGAGAATTGCGCGTAAAACATAATCAGTAGAAAAATAGACAAGAAGTTTCTACTAGAAACATAATCAGACAATAATTATTGAGGAAAATGACTACTTACGATTACCATGGAAAAGCAAAAGGTTGGACATACTTCTTTTGGCATGAATTTTTAGATCGCCTATGCTCCAGATATGCCCAAATATTTAGATCTCCCTCCATTTGATAGGTTTTTTCGGGATCTTATGCTACATTTGAAGAGTTTTTCAAATGGAGTTGAGTGTCCAAAGTTTACAAGATGTTCTGTTACCGAACTACAAATCACTTACACTAGCTAGGCTTGATTGATTATGTTCTCAAGCGTGTTTTAAAAGCGGATGCGCGGTATGTCTAACGCCACAGTAACATGTGAACTGGTTTATGCATGTTGATGTTGCCCAGTGAGACAGCTTGCTTTTCACTTGCAAGCAAATATCACTTGTAGGCTGGTAGTGAAGTATGCTTTTTACAGAAAGATTTTGAGAACCGTTTTTAGAGAAGTTTTGCCTCAGTATCACTTTTAAATTCGAGACTAGGCAGCAGAAGCTTTTTTGGGCGCGAACTAGACCTGTTCAGCAGCTTTCTTTGATTTCAGGTTTGTCTATGAATTTGAGTGGACAATCAGTTTCTATCAAAAATCTTTGGAGGCTTTGAAAGCCTTTGTCAACAGATTCCTGAGTGCATATTTTTCTGATTCCTGAGGAAATTAATAAACTTTTCGCTTCACATAGACTTTTTGCAAATGGGCTTTCCTCAGCGAGTTATCAACATTTCTTCGAAGTTGACCATCGAATCAGACTCAACTTTTAGAATGAAGTCAATGTCAGTGGGTATTATTGAAGGTTTGGACTATGCTTCTGAGATCCGAATTCTCATTACAAATCATGAAAGTGTCATCGACGTATCCTCTTATAGAGATAGAACCCACTAATTGTTGATGACAAGGTATTATTTTTCATGTTAGTTATAAAATAGACGCCCAAGATGAGAACATATTGCTGCTCGATCTAATTGCCAATAGATTTCAATGTTAAAATCTTAAGTAAACGCTGAAAGTACATCGGAATAACAGATCGTTTAGATAATGCATCGATAAACCGATATCAGTGTTATTGGATTGAGTGACGTCACACAAAAAACAGATAGTTTCTGTCGGCGAAACATTGGTGAAGAGAGCAGACGACATCTAAGGAGACCACTATGTATTGAATCGACAAGATCAAATGTATCCAAACGATTGTATTTCGACAGCTTTTCCTTCATCGGTCCAAGAATCCCTAATCAGCTGACTGACATGGAGAATTTATCATATCGAGTATTGGGCGGAGTGGGATGTTTTTTCTTTACACCTTGGGTAAGCAGTACATGCGCGGTGTTGTAGAACCAGAAGGACAAAGTAGTTCATATAGCTTTGCGCTAATAAATGGTTTATCATTCACCTTCAATATCTTTGTCAGTTGTAGCCCCATTTGTTCAGTGGGATCCTTCTGAAACGTGTGTTTTAGAAATTTCTTGTCATCAGGATACAATCAGGGAAAATTTATCAAGACAATCCCGATTGTTCAGTAGATATTCTTTGGAGAAAAAATTCGGCAGCTAGATTTTTCATTAATGTAATCGAGACAATAATTTCAAATAGTTGCTTTGAAATAGTCTGTATCGTTACATGAGACTGAAATCAGATCATTTGTTTGATCAACTAGATTACTTAGTTGAACTTTTATTTTTGCAGCTGATTAACTTCTGATGTTACGTTACAAATTTAAGTGTAATTGCTAGATGCATTTGCATTTGAATGGGTGTTCGGGAGACATTAGAATAATTAAACAGGTATTTCTGGGACAAGAAGGAAAAAGCTCTTCCTCGGTAACAAACTTCATTCTTCTATTTAGCTTCATAATGACATCGTCAGTTCTCCTCGTTGTAACTGTAGCAGCACTATTATTATTGTCCCCTTGGGTTTCTAATGGAACATTGGGCTTCAACTGCACGTCTCCACTGGCTTCTGTCTTCTGCTGTACTTTTTAACTGCATCCATGTTAGTCTATACTGTCTCAACTCCTCTTCACACGACCTCCTCTGTGTCACCCTTGCACTGACGTCCCACTCACTGCTTCCCCTTCCGGTTCCACTCGAGCATTGGCCTGACGCACGCGCGATGTCCCTCAGTGGCCTCCTCAGCCACGAGTGTCCAATCCATCTCCACTTTCTCCTACATATTTGCTGGTCGGCGATTGGTTCTTGTTTTGTTTGTTCCCATAGTTTCTTGTTGGTGATTCTTTTCGGTCCGGCAATCTGATTTTCAGTATAGAGCGAAGACAGTTGTTGATAAAGGTCTGCAACAGACAGTTGGAAATATTCTTTGTGACCCACCCGCCAAGTTTCTGATCCTTATACAAGAACAGACTTGAAATGTAGCAGCATAGTTTTAGAATAATGTTCGTTCATAAGCTGACACTTCATAAAGGACCTTCGATTTTCCTAAGATATTCTGTTCGAGTTCAGATAATCCAGATTACATAGTAATCAAGGTGATTGAGAAAATGGCATTTCGGTGTACATGAGTTGAAAGATACACAATTTCACCTGAGATTTTTTCAAAATACCTTCGAATATTAATGCTTCTGTAGGCAATTCCTCAGTAAATCTGACGGACAATTGTAGAAACTTGTTCAGTTCCTTCGCCATCGCACAGTCTTTGCTAATAATTAAGCTGAGGAATATACCCATTGAAGAATAGGGAAAAACAAAAAGGTGATCGCAGAGAAGAAAATTTTCCTTTAGACAAAGCCATAAACTAGACTGTACACTCGTGAATACATATCAAAGAGTTGAGAAAGTTCCAGAACTATTTCCGGTAGAAGATCACATTCTAACGAATAAAAAGAGGAAAATTATATAATCCAAACAAGGATTATATATAAAGGCGTCTGGACAAAATGAACGTACACTTTCGCTTAAAACAACAGTAGTTCAAAATGCCGCACCTCATAAACGTTGGCAAAAGAAATGTCAAGAAACTCCATTAAACGAAGAATCCTTGAAAAAAAAGAATAATTATGTAGACGATAATGACGATTCAATGTATCAAAGTCATCAATAAGCTCAACAGAAACAGAGCATTTCAGTCTAGTTAAAATTCAGAAGTTTCAGTTAGTATTTTAGAAATCCTATATATTTATTCACCAGAATAAAGCAAAACAATAGTATCGGAAAACTATGAGATGAGTAGAACACCAAAGAAAATAACTTACATTAGCTACTTTGATCTCTTTCACACCTGTCTCACCCCAGCCAACATCTTGACCAATTTTGAATTCTGCTAAACCTAATAAATCTGATGCTTTTTCTACATTGAGCAATTCAGTACCTCGTCTAGCAGTCATAATTAACGGTTGATTAGTATCTCGAACTTTTTCATTACTATACGACATTCGTTCACTTTTCGATAGACTTGTATTCATTTTATGAGATGGATAAAATCTTGAATCAATATACTGCATCCATGATAACCAAACAAATGGTCGATCATATAATGAAACACTACCAGTTTGAGCACTTTCTACATGACGATCTGGAAATGTTTCTAAAGCTTTAGCCACAGAACTAAGTTGATACTTATAAGTTATGCAGAAAAAAAACAAAAATAAATTGAACAAAATAAGTAATCACAATTTCAAATTAAGGTTTGTATACCATAAACATAAAAAAGGTGTTTTACAAGTCAATGATAGTATTAAAATTTGAATAAACTAAATACGCTTATATTCTTTGAGCCCTACTCATAATTATCAAGTAGAAAGTTCAAAACAAGCTTCAATGTTAGTCATGAGATATGTCCTAGTAAACTCTAGAAGTTTTCACATAATACAAACAAGTAACACATAGATCTGAATGATTTATGTCTAGGACAAATCTGTATAGAATAAAGTACATATTACAAATCTGTTAGAACTTCCTCTATTTGAAACGATGGGTACTCAGTTTGAGTCTAATTGCGAACATCATTAATCAATGAAGGTACAATCATATTCAGTTGACGGGTTCCAGACGCGGAGAAAAGCGCCTTCTGGATTCCCTGTTAGCCACCATCGATAAAGTAACATGTCTGACTTGGAGCATCCACTTTACCCTCAGCTTTCACCTTGCATATCCTCAGGTAAAACAAGAAGTAACTTCAGAAAACTGTACACTCGCACGTTTAGGTACAGAAATTTTATGATACCATACTTAGCACGTATTTTATGTGATGAAAATAGTGTCAGGAAAGAATTAACTAACCTTTTTTCATCTAGTAAATAAACAATTTCCTCCATCCATCCTTATATACTTTCAAGTTTTACTTTTATTACTTCTATTATATTTATGGTCCTGTTACTTCTCTGTTTTTTTTACTCTCAGAATTGCAAACACCAACTTATCTCCATGACGGCTGTAATCTTTGTTTTTCCCTTCACCATATCATGTAAAGAGAACATTATATTCAATATTTTTAAACATGCTAGGATTTCTATACCACATCGACAATACTGTGTGTAACACGCCCACGGGAATTTTCACCAGTATTATTATTATTACCTTAGCTGTTATCATTATTATTTTCATTTTATATGCTGCATGTTTTTGACATTACCTCTATTGTAAATGTGGAAAATTTTCTGTGTGATTAATTTTATTTATAATTTGAAGAAATTAGATGGAATATTGTGATTAATGCTGAAAATTCCATTCTGTATCACAAGTAATGTTTTTGGAATGAAGTAAATTATTATTATTATTATTAGGCTTTATATCAGTTAAGAAATTAGAAGAAAATGGGAATCTATGAAACGTATGCAAACGCTTGACAATATCGTCAGTCTATAATCAGCTAACAACCATTAATAACCATAAAATATGCATCCTGCATAAAAAGGGTGAACCAACAACAGTATACTCAGAAATCTGGCAAACTTATTATTCAGTACTGCTTTATATTACCACAAGTTATTATTATACGATCATTGGCTACATTCTACAGAATCCACAATTTCTCTTCATTTCAGTTTTGGGATTATAATTTCTCTTTTCGTTATCTTTTCTAATAGAGTATATTTCCAGTAATTATTAAAAAACGCAGGTAATTTTTCATACTCACAAGTAGTGATGCTTTTAGCTTTGTAAGCATTGCAACGGGGACAATACACGATGAATTTTATCGTGTTCTAAGCAATATGGTGGTATATTTGTTTTAATGTAATTTATGAAGTGAAATAATTGTTTAGCTTATAGTCTTGAATGGTGGTGAAGTTATTAATATTTTTCAACAGACAATTATTACCTCATACGAACTGTGATCAAGATTTGACCGGATAGTTGCAAAATAATAACTTTATAAATTATTATTATCATCAGAGTTTACAATGTATGATTAAGAAAATGAGATATTTTGTCTTTAACTAATTAACAGAATAGTTTCCGTAAAAACGAAACACTATGAAATAATTAAATATTCAGTTTTAATAAATAAGAAGAGACTAAAAGAAACTTGCACCCCAGTGAACATCTTATTGTATAGATGTGATTCTTTGGCTTACGCACTCTACTTTCAATAGAAAAAGTCCCGAGTTCGAATTCCATCCACCTCCCGCTACTGACTACCCCCACCACCTGCTGGGGGTAACGAAGTAGTATCATCAGCCTTAAAAATAAGACGTAGCCTGTAAGCCAGGTACTGACTTTCTAACGAACTAACTGAAAATCTTCTTAAGGTAATATAGTCGTCAATGGAGTATCACGCACGAAGTATATTTTTAGTCAGCTAAGGCTTTGATCTTTTCTTACCTACAATAATACTCACATACCATACCTTACGATGTCAGTTGTAAAAAAGTATGCGTGAATATATCAATAGTTGAAATGAATAAAAGCAAAAAGAATTATAATTTTCTAATTAGCTATTAAATGTAACAGTGGACTGGTAGTTCACTATTAGAATGCTTAGCAGTCACGTATGTAGTTCAAATTCTATTGCCGCCCGGTGTATTTTTAAACCTCCCTAGGCCAGAAGCAAGCCTGATACAGAGGAAGCTTAGGGCGTAAGACTAGTGTGACCTTAACCCATAAAATAAAAAACAAAAACACCACCGCTACTGAAACGTTAAAGCTTAAGCTTCAATTTGAACGTGAAGGAATGGTGAAAAAACATGTTTGATCACGGACTGATATCAGTTAGAGAGCCATTGAAAACCAGGGAGTACTGGACAACTGTTTCATCCTAGTTTGAGAAACCTCGTTAGTACGCATAGGATGGAGTTTCCTAGAGTTCGAGTGAGAAGTCGTGACCAGTAAGGTTCAACCAGTCAATCGTGCTTTGCGCCGTCTAAGTGCAAAGTACTGTTACAGGATTGGCAGGAGCCTGTACCTGCACTCACTCTTGCGGGTGAACCGTTTGAAGTTGTTGATAAGTTTGTGTACCTGGGTAGTTGTGTGAGTGCTGGCGGAGAAGTGACCACTGTGCGTCGGTGGCACAGTGGTTAGGACTCTCGCTGACCATGCATGTGGTCCGAGGTTCGATCCCCTGCCGACAATCACCTGATATCTATGGTCGGCCTGCAAAATTTGGGCTACCGATATCCATGCTGAAAATTCCATACTTGTACCAAAAATACAGTGTGGAATCAAGCTGTAAATCAAAAATAAAATAAATGAAATAATGAGATTTCCAACCGTATAATGAAGGCTAGGGTGGCATACATCAACTTGAGCCACCTATGGAGCCATCGTGACGTTCGCCTGGCTGTCAAAAGTCAGGTACTTTTAATCTATGTTGTTTTATTATTATGATTGTGTGGCGCATCTTTCTTGGTGCCATAGTGTATTGTATTGTAGTCAAGTATGAGGATGGATTTCCCACTGATGACATTGGTTAGTGGTCTCGCTAAATCACGAATTTGTAGAAGTTAGAATTCATGGGCTGGCCATTGAGTCGGGTCCCAGTGGCTGAATGGTATACGAGCCAGCTTGTCTTGTAACCGGAAGGTCCTGAGTTAGAGCCATGGTAGTGGGTGCGTACTGTCAATGATTCCCAAACTAGGATGACACAGCTGTCCAGTACTCCAGTGCTGGTTTTCAATGGTTCTCTAACTGATATCAATCTGTGGTCAAACTCGTATAAACAAATCTAATCGCTACAAACTAACTCTTGTAAACAAATATACATATATGAACTATGATAAATAGGGCGCCGGTTGCACAGAGTTAGAATGCTCATCAACCACGCTTCCTGTGGTCCGAGGTTCCATCCTTGGCCGATTCACCCCAGTACTTCGTCAAGCCTGTAATGAGACTGGTAAAGAGGGAAGGTCGGGCATGAGGCTAGCAACCCCATCCAGTAAAAATAAACACCACTGCTGCCGAAACTTCAAGCCTCCAGCTTGAAGCCTTATTTTCCACTGGGGACGTAAAGGAATAGAAAAAATATTAAATAAATACCTAAATAAGAAATTAGCTTTAAGGGTAACTTACTTCAAAAGTATCATTGAATTTGAATACAAGACGTAATAGTATAACAACGAATGCCATTGCAAATACTTCTGGACGAACAACTCGAGGCCATGGGATAAAATGTAATAAAGGACGTTGTACTAACTCATTTATAGCAATACATTGTTTATGTAATCTTTCTAATAAAGGTTTTACAAATATATGCATAATTTCTGGAAGACCTAAAGCAGCTATGTGACGATGTACAAGCCAAATCAATGGATATCTAGTGTTAAATAACAAAAAAGACACCATAACAGCGAATTTGAATTAGAGATGTATCAGCTAAATAATTTTCAGGACAAATTTTCTAATGCAACTACTAAGTGAAAAGTATAACAGACTTGTCGGTAATATTGGCTAAGAATAATACTTATAGTATTGAACATAAACACTACAAGGAATGGTTACTGACTACATGTTGTTAGTGGGGATGCAAAAAAGCTTATTCAACGCTTACCACCAACTGGAGTCATTTTCGGTACCGATGTCACATCAAGCTGTCGACTATAAAATGCGTACAAACTTCGCAATAGCAATTTGCTTTGTCATAGGGTATGAATAAGTGACAAGTGCCTATATCCGATTAGTTGTATGAGATAGAGTAACGTGGTAAGTGATGTTAAAATTAAGTGTACAGTAAGCAAGGTAAGTTGACAAGTCAGGTCATGACTGTTTATCGAATCAAGTGGTGTAGATGTGTGCTACGCCTTTGATTTCATCGAATTACAACTACAGATGACATAGGATTGAAACAGAGTAGAGTTAGGGGTGATCAGATTAAAACACGGCATCAATTCACTAAGTCATTAACTGTTAATCGGGGATGTGCAGCTCTTTGGAAGTGTGACAACTTGAAGTGATGCACTTCTGTGTAATGTTTTACGTTGGCCCGTCAATCAGTTTCTTTGGGTGCAGAACCAACTTCACTATAATTAAAACTAGTGATGGGCAGATATATTGTGGAAAGCGAGAATACTGAGTATATATATATATATATATATATATATATATATATGTAGAACAATCATTATGAACTGATGAGATATTGAATAATTGTACACAACTTGTCAAATAATGAACAAACAATTACAGATTCAAAATGCTTCTGAACACCATCGTAATAGCTTTAAGGCCTGCTTAACACTAAGCTGTAATATAATAACGTGCTTAAATACTGTTGTGCATACCCTTATTAAAGTATATGCGCCTAAAAAGCTTGTTTCAATATTAAAGAATGTATTACATAAAAAGAAAATCACCCTTTTTGATTACAACTAGAAGAGAACAGGAAAAACCAGGTGAATACAAGCATATTTCTGAAAAATACTGTGAAAAATTCAAATATAATTATGAACTGATATATATATATATAACTCACTTTGGAAAGTGATTTAAGCCAAGAAATTCACGCATTCTTACAGTTGCATGCGTTAAAACTTCAATTTCTGGATGTCGAAGTCGTCTGATCATATTTCGTAAACATTGATCACGTATACGAAAAGCACCCGGAGGGAAAAACTTTTCAGCCTATATTTATTTTTTTAAAGGGGGAAAATTAATTAAAGTAAATATGATAATAGCCAATAGAGAACTTTAATTAATTTATTTAGAAAGTATAATTTTATAAAAATGTCAATTGTACAAAAGTGAAACTTCTGCGTGAGTATAAATAGACATAACAGTAAAATAGTAACATTTAAAAACACAAGTCATTGCTCAAAATCACATCAATATCTGCTCTGACCAAGTTGGCAAATTCAAAATAAAGAAAGGTGTGAGTGCTGAGCAGTTATTCATTCGCTTTTATTATACACATCCCAATTTTTAGTAGAATATATTTCAAATACTTGCAACATGCATATTAAAAGTGATGGAATCATGACATCGATATATACATGAAACCATTAATCAATACTTACTGCCTCATTCAGAAATAAACAGAGTTCAAACGTGACTTATAAGCACACTATTGTTAGATTATTTTACAAAGTGATGCATTGAGTCGGGACTCAGTAACCCAAAACAGATTTTTTATGTATCAGAGACTATGAGTCACACTGATTATCTCCATATATAAGAAGGGATACAAGTCTTCCTGTGATAATCACAGAGGGATTAGCTTGACTAATATAGTATCTAAAGTCAGGCTCAATAATCATGCGTAGACTAAGTGGTGCTCGGGAGGCACAAACACGAGAGAGCCAGGCAGGCTTTAGACCAAGAAGAGGGTGTATTCATCATATCTCCATCCTTCGACAGATTCTAGAACATAGGCATAATTACCGACGTCCAACAGTCATTATATTTCTTGACCTAAAGGCGGAATTCGATTCTGTCGACCGATAGGTACTCTGGAGATGCTTGATTGTTAAGGGAATGCAGAAAAAATATATTGCACTGATTAAGGCACTCACTCTACTCGAACTGATGCAACCAGGTGAACGCTTACGGCGAGTTGTCATCTGAAGTGGTGACGACTAATGGTGTCCGTCAGGGATGGCCATTATCCCCTTTTCTATTCAACTTCATCATAGATGTACTAATGGACTTAACCCTAATTCACTTCAGAGACTCAGGCATTGACCTGCTACCAGGGAATAATCATTTTAACTTGGAATATGCAGACGATATAGTCCTTCTAGGCGAGGACACTGACAAAATGCAGAGTCTTCTAAACACCTTGAGCCGCAATCTACGAATGTTTGGCACGCGATTCGCTCCTGCCCAATGCAAGATGATGTTACAGGACTGGACCACAATGACTCCTGGTTTAGAAATAGGCAATGAAGTGGTAGAACACGTTGACCGCTTCACTCACTTGGGAAATACCATCAGCCCCAACGGGTTGATCTCTGACGAAATCTCAGCTGAGTACGGATACAGAGGGCTAGTTTCCCATAATTAAAAAACCAGCGTTTGATGACATAATGAAAGTCTCTTTTATAAGAAAATGCATACTGTTAGTTTGTAAAGTGAAGTTCTTGTAGTTAGGCCACATTTTGTCCAAGAATCATCTACCTTTAAGGGGTCAGAGAAATTCATGAATCCAACTGGGCTTCATACATTTCGTTTTTGCCCATCAGTTTGTTTATCTCTAATAGTGGATATCAAAGAATACGAATTGTGGGAGCTTACAAGTTTGAATGAGAGAGGCTTGAAGGTTCGGTAGCAGTGGTGTTTATTTTTACGGGATGGAGTTACTAGCCTCATGCCCAACCTATCCTCTTTACTAGTTTTGTTACTGACTTGACGAGATAAAGGAGTGCGTCGGCCGGGGATCGAACCCCGGACCACATGAGGCGTGTACTATAGAACCCCTATATATATAAACAGTCTTCTATCGTCGGTAACAATGAACAAATATGAATACATTATAATAATATTAACACTGAATAGTTTTCTTACAAACTACCATGTGTTCAATGCATTCTATGAATTTAAAGCTGTATTATATACTACCCCCATACAAATGAAATGAGAATATCTCTCTCAATTACCAAACATCTAGAGTACTCTAAACAATTACTTTTCGAAGCGTCTGAAGCTTTTCATTTTCAGATACTTGTGCGTCGGTGGCACAGTGGTTAGGACTCTCGCCGACCATGCACATGGTCCGGGGTTCGAGCCCTCGCCGACGCACACCTGATATCTATGGTGGGCCTGCGAATTTTGGGCTACCGATATCCACGCTGAAAATTCCATACTTGTACCAAAAATACGGTGTGGAATCAAGCTGTAACCATAAAATAAAAAAATAAAATAAAATAAATTTAACAAACATGTCGCGTTTAAATTGGCCAGTATAAAATCCCTAAATGTAACCGTCTATATGTACGGTTTACTCAGAACGTTTAAATTAGTATAATAAGCATTAAACCTACAGTGACCTAGTTACTTTTCTTATTTTGTGTGTAGAAAAAAGTAAACTATGATATCTGACCTAGTAGCTATGATGTCACTGCTAAGTTAGTACTGAAGATGTTGTTTAGATAGATAATACAAGTTTCGTAATTAGACTATCTATTTCAGAGAATACGAATAACACCAGAACCACCCATCTGATGTACAAACCATCTTCATCATTTCAATATAATTTTACGTTAACCTTATTCCAGGTGCTGTATTAACCCTATTGAACTCATTACTAAGAAAATGCTAGCACGTCTACAAAGGATTTATGCGGCATTTACAAACTTTTATCATCTTTGGCTTAGGCACCGTATACAGCTATCCATCACAGTAGGAGTATCATTTGCAATTGTCCACTTTGTCCTACATTGTGACTGTGAGATGTAGCCGCTAGCAGTAAAAGATGTGAAAAGATAACACAGCCGGTTTTTCGACTATAAGTACTACCCATTTTCTCGTGTTTGTTAAAAAAACAAGATCACGATAAATTGGATTAGGCGTAAAGTTAGCTAGACACGGGAAGTCATCAAATCATAGCATCAGTGCGTGGAGAATTACACTATTGGTTTGAGCCATATTGTAACAACAGAAGACAAGGGCCAGTCTCAGCTGAGTACGGATACAGAGGGCTAGTTTCCCATATGCCAGTTTACGCCGTCTCTGGCGTAGACGTGATATCCGGGTATCGATCAGAGGGTGGGTGTACTGCTCATCAGACCGCTCCGTCCTCCTTTGTGGCTGTGAGACCTGGTCATTGAGAGTGGAAGACATGAAAAGGCCGGCTAGCTGTCCTTGATCATAGGTGCCTGTGGTCTATCTCCCATGTGAAGTGGTACAATAGGGTGAACAATATTGAGGTTAGGCTTCGGTCAAGTGCTAGGTAAGGAGTGGAAATCAATCGACAAGGCTGTGAAATTACATCGACTGAGATGGTTAAGACATGTGTTACGTATGTCTAGTCATCGCCTTCCTCGACGAGCAATATTAGCGGATATAGGGTCATGCTGGAATAGAGCAAGCGGAGTTCAAACCAAAACATGGCACCAGTCAATGAAATCTACAACGGTTAGCCTAAGCCACGTAGGAAGGTGTAGACTTCCTGACTGGTTGGAGTCCCCGGGACGGTAAAACCAATGGTTGGAAACAATCGGTGACATGGCTCAAAATCGTCCTAAATGGCCGGTACAGATGCATCCACTCCTTGTGACTTATGATTTCCAATGAAACTGTTTTGTTCTTCGTTATTACTATTCCTTTGTCTCATGTCTTTTTACGGTCTCTGTTTTGCATTTCTTCTACTTTGTTCTCTTGCTTTGTGTGTTACATGAAGTGTGGCGACTTGAACTGGCGCACATTTGTGCAAAGTTCTATGTCGAAAACAGACAGACAGATGAGACACACTTACTGTATATGGCCTAAAAGATACTACTATCTAGTTACCCAAAATGTAAAGTAGGTGAGACAGGATTCGAACTCCACATCCACTGACAGAAGGTCCAGTGTGTAAGTCGTTGAGTCACAACTTCACATCTGCATTTAAGAAGTCGGTTGGGATTTTCTGCATAGAAACTATTATTCACGATAAAAGATAGAAGCATAATAATACAACACAACTTGTCTTAAAAACAATATTAGGAGACTTTGAGCAGTTATTGTGGTGATAATGTTTGCATTTCAATTTGATGCTGAGAGAGTGACTAGAACATGTATTGCGCATGCTAAGCCAAGGTATGTCTCGACAACTAATGTTAGATGGTTAAGCATTAGGATGAAAATGAGTTAGAGCTTAACATAAAACAAACCAGCGGAATCATTAAAGTGTTTGTGAGCACTATGTAACTATCACGGATTTCACATTAAATACATCATCATGTGACACCTGTATCGAATTCGAATCTTTTTAACATAGAAGGTACAGATATATAAAGAAAATAGCATTCAAAATTTTGGTGACCATAAAATGAGTCTCATGAATATCAGAGTTTTAAAAAGAAATCATTCATAAGTATTGAGCTTAAGTCAACAATTTAATAGAATTCGTTTATTTCTTAAGATCAAAACAAAATACAAAAGGTGTGCATATATTAAACAATCTAAGAATATATATATATATATATATATATATATATATATATTATGATGAATATAATTTAAGTATTATAATGTTATCATCACTTACAGCTATAAAGGGTAAACGGCGACTAACACACAAGTCTAATAAATCTTTTAAAGTAATCATTGTACTAAGTGCATACGGGACATTTGGAAAGCCAGGATTTATAAAGCTTGATAAAAACAATGGGTTGAATGCTTTTCGTATAGGGCTTGTAGTTAAACAAGCAAAAAACAAAACAGATATATTATGCTCCAGTAATCCTCGACAGGTAATACCGCCTTCCATTTGACCACGCCAAAATAAATTACTCATATCTGGTAAACGACACCTAAAAATAAACGAGAAATAAAAGTGCCTGTGTGTGTGCTTTTTGTAATGAATTCAATACTACTAAATCTATTAGTAATTAAAAACAATTAAACTCAGTAAATATTTACAAATATTGATTCATATCTACACTATAAGTTGGTAAACTTTACAATAACCAAAGAATTTACTATTGGATCGGACCAAATGGCTTAATCGCCCACAAGATCGCCTTGTAACCTGAAGGTTCTAGGTTCGAACCCCTGTGGCGGGTACGTACAGATGAAGAGTCTAAAAACTAGGACGAAACAGCTGTTCAGTACTCCCAGGTTTTCCAATGGCTCTCTAACTAATGTCAACTCGTGATTAAATCCTCCGAACAATCAAAGAATTTACCCTTTAAGTGAAGAACACTTAGCCACATGTCCAAATGTGAATCATCACCAAGTGTAGTGTACACCAATACCATGAACAAGATGGAATGGAAAGTGAATTACATTATTCTCTAGATAATTTGGAACACTTGATTCAACACAGTGGTCTTCAAAAAAAAAACGAAAAACCACAAGACAAACAAAACCATATTTAAGAATATTTTTATCCGAAAAATTACAAGTGAAGAAAAATTGATACACTAAAGACCTATATGAGTAAACTTTCCAACTGAATAAAATATCCAACTGAGAATGTGTACCACAAAAAAAGTGATGCACGGAAATAAAATTTCCTATTCAGCCTATAAATTATTGTTATTATTATTAATGTCATTATTACTATTACTTTTATTGTTATTATTATTATTAAAAAGAGAGCTGATGGTTCTCTTCAGAGATCGATCTACAGGAACCAACATGGAATGGCCAATACATGAATTCCTATAGTTGGGTTCTTTTGAGAAGAATTTATTTATTTATTATTTATTTAAACGCATAAAAACTTGGTACAATATGGCACCAAGAAGGATGCGCCACACAATAATAATAAAACAACATAGATCAAAAGAAAAAAAGAAAGAAGAGGAAAAAATATAAGCAGAGAACGGATACAGAACTTCATCTGGAAGGAAAACAGTCATGCTTAACAAGTTCAAACAGTATTCGTTAACTGTCATCAAGAAGGGAAGAAAGAAGGAAATTGCAACACGTTCGCCATTGATTACGATTCTTGGCCATATCCGATAACGTTTCGAGCCATCGATTCCAGCTATCTCGCGGACCCTAACCAGGGAGTGGTGACACACCAACCGATGCTAATCTAGCACAAAAGTCCCTCATCCCACGACGCCACGTCATGAACTGACTACCCTCCCAGGGCTGGCTAGCGAACAGAGACCTGTACGGAAGCCTCTGGGATGACATTCTCAGCACATGTCCAAGCCACCGGAGCCGGTGGCAACTCGAACTGCTGCACTTCGGTGCCAAGTTCTATGTTGAATCCAGACGGAGACACCGGAGCCGGTGTTTCCAGATGACGACAACATTCAATGAATGGTGATTTCCCCAGTGTTCAAACACACACGCCGCAGAACCTCAGAATTACGCACGCGATGATGCCATCCATCGAACGCAAGCAATCCTGCTGAGACAGTGATGGTCAAACACGCAGAGTCGCCGCAGAAGCCAATACGGTGCCGAAGAAACTACTATTCATGACCGTTGAATTTAAATGTGATACCGCAGCTGAGATCTTGAAGAATCGCTCATACAGATCACTGAGGAAAGCCTTCTTTATGGCTGAGCTACGTATGAATTTCTACAGGCGATAAATGATCAATCAATATATTAAGGATAAACTGTCGCTTTTGGCCACTTTAATGTGTGTTTATAAATTCACCTGCTCGTGTGGAGCTGGTTATATTGGCCGCAAAAATGTAAAAAAATTAAAATTCTAACGGCAAAACAACAAATAAACTTACAACTTTTTGGTAAAATATGGTGCTAATACATCCCGAGTATACTTTTCATAAGTGATGATGGGGAAAACACTGGACTTTGTAGTCTCAGCTGGACTAGAAACATTTTTTTCATTAGAATCTCCTAACCCCATACGACTTCTGGACTTTCTGCGATCTTCGACATTGTCTTCATCAGAAAAATGGTCGGTTTCATCTGAATCAGAATCACTATCTGATTTGTGTTTTCGTTTACGTTGCCTGGTTAACTTAGCTAATTTTTTATTTCTGAGTGATCAAAAAGAGGGATAAATAGAAAATACTGAGAAATTGTATCTACAATTATAATAAAAGGGTGCATGTGTGTGTGTGTGTGTGTGTGAAGATCTCTACTACCACAGATAGACATTACCGACTAAATACCTCATTCATGTGCAATGTTTATAAAACAGATATGACAAAAAAAGGAAGAATTCTACCTCAAGATGGAAATGATAACTGTTCAGACTTTAAATATTATACTGTATAAGCATCACTATGATGAGTGAGCACACAGCTTTCTTATTTTACGTAAAATATGCAAAGGATTTCACTAAATATTACACGACGATTCACTCATACCCCCTTCAGAATAACGCCCTCCAGTATGAATAACATTTAACATGACACTGTCTGTCTGTTTTCGACATAGAACTTTGCACAAATGTGCGCCAGTTCAAGTCGCCACACTTCATGTAACACACAAAGCAAGAGAACAAAGTAGAAGAAATGCAAAACAGAGACCGTAAAAAGACATGAGACAAAAGGAATCATCGGTAGTACGCGCCCACTGCCAGGGTTTGAACCGAGGACCTTCCGGTTACAAGGCCAGAGAACTCGTATACCATTCAGCCACTGGGACCCGATTCAATGGCCAGCCCATGAATTCTAACTTCTACCAATTCGTGATTTAGAGCGACCCCGACTAATGTAGTAGGTGGGACATCCATCATCACACGTGACATCTGTCCAGTACTTCCTAGTTTTCAATGGTTCTCTAAATGATATCAATCCATGATCAACTCGTAAAAACAAAACTAACCCTTACAAACCAAACTATAGACAATTAGGTTAGTCAATAACCAGATGGCTACCTCTTTGTTGACTTATTTGCTATTGATAACATGTATGTAAGGAATACTATATGATATGATTAGTGAGTGAATTAAAAAACCAGCGTTTGATGACATAATGAAAGTCTCTTTTATAAGAAAATGCATACTGTTAGTTTGTAAAGTGAAGTTCTTGTAGTTAGGCCACATTTTGTCCAAGAATCATCTACCTTTAAGGGGTCAGAGAAATTCATGAATCCAACTGGGCTTCATACATTTCGTTTTTGCCCATCAGTTTGTTTATCTCTAATAGTGGATATCAAAGAATACGAATTGTGGGAGCTTACAAGTTTGAATGAGAGAGGCTTGAGGTTCGGTAGCAGTGGTGTTTATTTTTACGGGATGGAGTTACTAGCCTCATGCCCAACCTATCCTCTTTACTAGTTTTGTTACTGACTTGACGAGATAAAGGAGTGCGTCGGCCGGGGATCGAACCCCGGACCACATGAGGCGTGTACTATAGAACCCCTATATATATAAACAGTCTTCTATCGTCGGTAACAATGAACAAATATGAATACATTATAATAATATTAACACTGAATAGTTTTCTTACAAACTACCATGTGTTCAATGCATTCTATGAATTTAAAGCTGTATTATATACTACCCCCATACAAATGAAATGAGAATATCTCTCTCAATTACCAAACATCTAGAGTACTCTAAACAATTACTTTTCGAAGCGTCTGAAGCTTTTCATTTTCAGATACTTGTTTAACAAACATGTCGCGTTTAAATTGGCCAGTATAAAATCCCTAAATGTAACCGTCTATATGTACGGTTTACTCAGAACGTTTAAATTAGTATAATAAGCATTAAACCTACAGTGACCTAGTTACTTTTCTTATTTTGTGTGTAGAAAAAAGTAAACTATGATATCTGACCTAGTAGCTATGATGTCACTGCTAAGTTAGTACTGAAGATGTTGTTTAGATAGATAATACAAGTTTCGTAATTAGACTATCTATTTCAGAGAATACGAATAACACCAGAACCACCCATCTGATGTACAAACCATCTTCATCATTTCAATATAATGTTACGTTAACCTTATTCCAAGTGCTGTATTAACCCTATTGAACTCATTACTAAGAAAATGCTAGCACGTCTACAAAGGATTTATGCGGCATTTACAAACTTTTATCATCTTTGGCTTAGGCACCGTATACAGCTATCCATCACAGTAGGAGTATCATTTGCAATTGTCCACTTTGTCCTACATTGTGACTGTGAGATGTAGCCGCTAGCAGTAAAAGATGTGAAAAGATAACACAGCCGGTTTTTCGACTATAAGTACTACCCATTTTCTCGTGTTTGTTAAAAAAACAAGATCACGATAAATTGGATTAGGCGTAAAGTTAGCTAGACACGGGAAGTCATCAAATCATAGCATCAGTGCGTGGAGAATTACACTATTGGTTTGAGCCATATTGTAACAACAGAAGACAAGGGCCAGTCAACAGATCCTTTATTAAGGAAATCAACACATATTTATACATTTTCATGTACATATTATAGATTATTTTTAGCAGAAAAGCATAGTCTTCTGATTGGTTGTTTCTCACAGAAAGTTAACCTCGCATCTCTTTGTGGCTGTTTCTTGAATGTCAGATCATCTATATGTTAACTGTATCCGCCTACGCAAAGCCTTCGTTCCCATTTTTCTCACGACCGATATTGGGGACATAAACATTGACGTAAATTACTGTCCACCAATATTGGCTAACAGCCAGATCTCACCACAGTATGAGAAGAATGAACAGCTTGGACAGGATTCTATATATGTTAAGAATCAGTGGTTGGCGAATGTTGATGTCATGGATTTAGATTTTTTTTTAAAGGCGTCGAAATAGGGACTGCAAGTTAGGCGCAGACGGAACGATGACCAATAACGCCAACAACATATACTACAACTACCCGATTCCTCTGTCGGCTCTACTTAAGTGAGAAAACACACGATATGAGACACTATATTATCTTATAACAGAAACAATTATATATATATATATATATATGTATATATATATATATATAATTTTTTTTTGATTTTTGATTTACAGCTTGATTCCACACTGTATTTTTGGTACAAGTATGGAATTTTCAGCATGGATATCGGTAGCCCAAATTTTGTAGGCCGACCATTTGATATCAGGTGTGCACCGGCGTGGGCTCGAACCCGGACCATGTGCATGGTCGGCGAGAGTCCTAACCACTGTGCCACCGACGCATATATATATATATATATATATATATATATATGTCCAATGTGATAGACACGAGAAAAGATCATCCATAAAGGATGTATACATGACCAATGACGTAGGCGTGAGAGAGATAAGTCATGGTAATTTATTCACATATCACATGAATCAAAAACATTCACAATAGCGCAGATGTATTCACACGTTGTTATCTTCTACAGTCTTTAAGTACTTATTATCCTTCTAGTAATTTTTGTTGATTGAGGTTTCAGATCATCCATTTTCACTACACTACATGTTCCTCAAATGTCTGGAAACATGAACAAATGCACTTTGGTGCAAAGTATCTCACTGACTTGTCAATCAGCCAATCATACCAAGCGCTTGATAAAAGCGAATCTTATTGTTCTATACATAGCATGCTATCTATTGAACTTCACAAGTTCTTTATTATTTACTAAGTCATTCGTTCCATTAATTAACAATGTCTGTCTATCTATTTTCAACATAGAACTTTGCACTGATGTGCACCAGTTCAAGTCGCCACACTCCATGTACCACACAAAGCAAGAGAAGAAAGCAGGAGAAATGCAAAATAGAGACAGTAAAAAGACATGAGACAAAAGGAATAGTAATAACGAAGAATATAGTTTCATTGGGTATTATAAATTACAAGAAGTGAATGCATCTACGCCACTGAGAACGATTTTGAGCCATATCACAAATTGTCTCCAGTCTTTGGTTTTTACCGTCTCGAGGACCCCCACACGGCTTACACTAACTGTTGTGAATTTCATTGACTGGTGTCATGTTTTGGTTTGACTGCCGCTAGCTCTTTCCCAGCCTGACCCTATGTCAGCTAACATTGCCCGTCGAGGAAGGCGGTGACTAGGCGTTCATTCGTAACACATGTCCTGACCATCTCAGTCGATGTAGCTTCACAACCTCGTCGATTGATTTCCCCTCCCACCTACCTAGCACTCGACCGAAGCCTAACCTCAATATTGCTCACCCTATTATGCCACTTCACACGGGAGATAGACCACAGGCACCTATGATCAAAGACAGCTAGCCAAGCTTTTCATGCCTTCCACTCTCAATGGCCAGGTCTCACTGACAGCCATAAAGGAGGACGGAGCGGACTGATGAGCAGTACACCCACCCTCTGATCGATACCCGGATATCACGTCTACGCCAGAGACGGCGTAAACTGGCATATGGGAAACTAGCCCTCTGTATCCGTACTCAGCTTAGATTTCGTCAGAGATCAACTTGTTGGGGCTGATGGTATTTCCCAAGTAAGTGAAGCGGTCAACGTGTTCTACCACTTCATTGCCTATTTCTAAACCAGGAGTCATTGTGGTCCAGTCCTGTAACATCATCTTGCATTGGGCAGGAGCGAATCGCGTGCCAAACATTCGTAGATTGCGGCTCAAGGTGTTTAGAAGACTCTGCATTTTGTCAGTGTCCTCGCCTAGAAGGACTATATCGTCTGCATATTCTAAGTCAACGAGACATGACACAAATCAAACAGAGAATAAAATGATTACTATTAGTATTATTATCAAAATGAATTTTTAACACAAGATTCAAGATTTAAAACAAGTGAAAGTCAGAACAAGTAATTACAAACACAGAAACAGTGTACTGGTTATTGGTTTGAGCCATGTGGGTAGGTGTATATGTTATCTGGCATAGGCTGAAAATAATTTAAAATTGAGTTGATCCTCAGCTTCTTTACTAATCCTAACTTATTTAAGTATCCTCTATATGAAGCATATATGTCTTTCATAATGATATTATCAAGCTTCAGTGCTGCTATTTTATGCATTGTGTTTCTAAGTGTGATATCTTGAACTGATGCCCTTTTGTTAAAAGTTCTACCTTGATTCATCACCCAATCATGAATACCCGTAATTTCGATTCTTATTCATGTACTTGTAAATTTGGAAAAATTTAAATGTCAAGGTCTCTTCTATGCAAGTGTTTGTCATTCAGATAGAAAAACAGATTGAAATATTTGTGTGTTTAGTGGGATACAACTTAATGAAATGAGCCTAAATTTAACATCCATGCAGAGATTGTTTCATCACCTATGATTAATAATTGATTTATGAGGATGAATGACACCATCGTTTTGTGGTGAGTGCTGGTTGTTAGCCAAAATTGGTGGACAGTAATTTACGTCAATGTTTATGTCCCCAATATCGGTCGTGAGAAAAATGGGAACGAAGGCTTTGCGTAGGCGGATACAGTTAACATATAGATGATCCGACATTCAAGAAACAGCCACAAAGAGATGCGAGGTTAACTTTCTGTGAGAAACAACCAATCAGAAGACTATGCTTTTCTGCTAAAAATAATCTATAATAATGTACATGAAAATGTATAAATATGTGTTGATTTCCTTAATAAAGGATCTGTTGACTGGCCCTTGTCTTCTGTTGTAACAGTTTGACTGTCTAAACCTCCCGTGTAAAAAGCAGACAAGTGCACATCAATGAACCACACTCAATACGAACACTTTTGAAACCACGCTAATATCCGTATTCTATTTCAGTAACGTTCCATTTCTACTTACTAACTTGAAATAACACACCTTTCCTTGAAATTAAAAGTTTAGCAGTTTGTGTACTAGTAGTGACTACTTAAACCAACCTTTAAGTAAGTACCATGTTGACACAGAGTAGACAATACTGTAACCCACTAGTTTTGGCACTTGATTTTCAGCTAGCAGGTACAGAATTGGAGTTCTGGTTCACGTACATCAGTCTGAGTGATTGTCGCGTATCATCAGCTTATACACAATAAAGTTAGTACATGGAAAATCCTTCCCAGGGTTACTAAGTTAAAACTATAACCAGGGAAATTCAGATGGCATGAAAATTGTACACCTAATTTGCAATACGTCAAATAAACATCTTTGGTCACAGGCTAAAACAAAGATTTATGGTGAGCGCGTAAACGCGAATGTTGTTTGCTAGTTACCAGGTTGCATACTTATACCATTTCTAGTAATGAGCATTATGGATCATCTTAACTATTATTCTCCTCAACATAATGATAATTTTGAGTTTTCTGTGACACGATGAGAGAGATTGGTACTATTCGGAGATAGGATTCGACAATAATACTATTCGTGTGTGTATATGTAAACGGTAGTTAATCTACTCTGCAGTATATCCGCAAATATTTCCGAATATACAAAGCAGGTAATATAGTTTTAGACGATCACATAGACAACACGTGAACATATTAATTATAGGAAAAAGATACCAAAAGGACATGTAAAAGGAAAGAAAAAAGACTTTTCAATGAGTGTACAACAGCTTATGATACTACTCTGTTCGTGAGACAAGAACAAGTGGAATGAGAGTTCCACTTGTAGGCGTAGTGTTGGGCAGAGAGGGAAAATCAATCGACGAGGCTATAAAGTTACATAGACTGAGATGACTAGGTCACGTGCTGCGCATACCTAACCATCGCCTCCCCCGACGGGCATTGCTAGCTGATATAGGTGCAGGTTGGAAAAGAGCCAGTGGTGGCCAAACAAAAACATGGCATCAATCCATGAAATCCTTGACAGTTAAACTGAGTCAGGTAGGGAGATGCAGACTTCTGGGTTGGGGCCCTCGGGACTCTAGGAATCAATGGCTGGAGACAATAGGCGACATGGCTCAAAATCGTTGTCAATGGCCAGCGCAGATGTATTCAGTCTCTGTAATCTTTCATATTCCTTTCTACCATTACCCATTCTGTTTCACTCTTATACTTGTCAGACTGTATTGATTTTCTTCACTCATCTTCTTGTCTACCTCTGTGTGCTATTTGGAACGTGGCAACTCGAACTGGTGGACTTCGGTGCGAAGTTCTATGTTGAATCCAGACAGACAGACAGACAGGAATGAGAGTTTAATTCACAACCGATCAGCAAGAAGTCGGCTGTCTGAGTAAAGGAACAATCTTCTCATACATTTAAGTAATATTAATATCATATATGTAAGCATAGACTATTTCTTTCAATTGCTTACTTTCTCTGAGATACATGAAGCATACTAACGATTTCACGGCCTTCATCTGGTTCATACAGCATACCCCAACCAAACCACTGTAACTGGCTCAAACGGGTTTTAATAAACTCCCATTCATTTTCATATAGCAAAGGAGTAGAATTACAGTAACGAACATTTTCTTTACATCTTCGCAGATTTCTATGCCGAGGCCTGTCGCCTTCTTTTAATGACCCAATTTTGCTTTGATATACCTCACTAATTGATTTCGTCAAGGCAACAGCTGCATCTAGCCAAGCATCAGAACCAAGCTCACCAGTTATAGCCAAATAATGAAGCCATATATTCCAGACAGCATTACACAACGTTGTTTTCTCTTCGTCTGATAGATTTAACTCTTTTGCTAAACTATTTGCTTGACATTTCATTATAAACTAGAAGGTGATTGAAGTGAAATAAAAGACCGATGATAATATGAGCAATCATATTGATAGTTATTGCTAATTAGTGATGACAGTTTTATAAGACTGCTTTAGTTGCGTATAGTACACAAAACAAAATCATTGAAAAAACTCGAAAATAACAATGAAACATGACAGCTATAAGTAAGCTACATAAAACGAATATCCAACTTTGGATTTTCAGATATTGATTAAAAAAGCTTAGCGCAAGTGTAAGAACCAATCCTAATAAATACATAAATAGTTGGTAGGTTTGTAGGAATTTGATTGATTGGTTTCAGGATTTCATCATGAGCTGACATCAGTTAGAGAACCATTTGAAAACCTGGGAGTACTGGAAAGCAGTTTCATCCTAGTTTGGGACTCTTCACAACACGCACCCACCGGGATTCGAACTCAGGATCTTCTGGTTACAAGGCGAGCTCGTATACCATTAAGCCACTGGGACCCAAATCAATGGCCCATGAATTCTAACCTCTGCCAATTCACGACATAGCGCGACCACTAGCCAATGTCTTCGGCAAGTATTTTTCCTAATCCGACTGAATTGGGTTCCAGTGGCTTAATGGTATACGAACTCGCCTTGTAACCAGAAGGTCCTGGGTTCGAACCCCGGTGGGTGCGTACTGATGAGGAGTCCCAAACCAGGACAAAACAGCTGTGTAGTACTCCCAGGTTCTCCAATGGTTCTCTGACCAATGTCAGCTCATGATGAAATCCTGAAACATAGTTCTTTGCTAACGACGACTTTCACACTTTTATTTCCCTTAAGGTAAGAGAATGGTCCGAGAACCACTGAAGACCAAGGGACACTTGATAACTTTTTGTCCCTAGTCTATACTCTTCAGCAAACTAAATACCGTCAGATCTCAGGGAAAGTAAATTAGCATAGGTTTTAGGTTAGAATTTCTCCCAACCGATATTTATCCGTGATACAGAGAAAAGATGTCATCTAATGTCATTCAAAAGTAATACTATTTATCTCCAACCTGATTTCAAGCATCACGGTTTATACGTTGCGTTACCAGAAATCCGTTCCAATCCGTCATCAATCAGTATTATATAACCTCTGATTTCTGTTTTATTAAGTCAGCTAGTAGAATGACGATAAAAAAATGAGTTATATAGTACGTACTTTACGGATCATAAGAAACACCAATGTTTATAATACTGATTGAAAAAGTACTGAATCCTACTGGAAGCATTACGAATTTTTTTTAATCTTATTACGGGAATCTTTTGCCGTATATAATCATTGAATCCTTTGAGAGCCAATTAAAACCAATGTAGGTTCCAGGTAGAAACAATATTAATTAGAGGAAGAAATAACTCCATGACTACAAGCATATTTTTTTAAAATTCCTTTCGGGTGACAGAAAGAATACTGCTGTTAAGCTATTCTACTTCTAATCCATTGAACTGTGAGTGAACTATACTTTGGATACACTTATTCTACTGTATTTGAATAGCCTAACAGCTCGTCTAATACTATCAGACTCCCCCTATCAGTATACATTGACAAACAGACTTACTGTAAAAGGTTCCGATAGGCGCCATGGCCGACTTTTCTCTTTGGATTTGTCTTTCTGGCTTATATTGATGATATCTACATCATCTGAAGTGAACAAGTCGTCTAATGTATCACAATTCGTATTGCGAGGAACAGAATTTATCGTTTGATTAACGGCACTATTTGCTTCAGTTATTTTCACATCCAAAGTTTCCGGATTGTCTGCAGTCACTGGATTCACCTGCTTTTGTATTACACGTAATCCACGAGTTTCACAGAAATCCTGAGACTGAAAATATACAATTGGGAATAATGTTTTGATAATACCTTCAAATTAAAAATCTACAATAAAATGTTAAAATTCACAGCCGTGTGAAATATCTAGACTACCTGAAAAATGACAATACGCTCCACCATAAGTGGACATCCATAATATATAGCTCAGATTGTACTTCACATACTAATTGAGTGAAGCGAATTTAAACAATTAAAATAACTTATAATCTTGAGTAAGTAGAGTCATTAGATAAGACGTATTGGTACCACTTGTATTACTAATGCTTAATCTGAATACTGTCTGTCTGTCTGGATTCAACATAGAACTTCGCACCGAAGTCCACCAGTTCGAGTTGCCACGTTCCAAATAGCACACAGAGGTAGACAAGAAGATGAGTGAAGAAAATCAATACAGTCTGACAAGTATAAGAGTGAAACAGAATGGGTAATGGTAGAAAGGAATATGAAAGATTACAGAGACTGAATACATCTGCGCTGGCCATTGACAACGATTTTGAGCCATGTCTGAATACTACTATATCAAATGAGAATATGGTACAATATTTAACTAATTTTAAACGCGATAACTTGTCTTCGAATAAACAAGACAAAAGCGACTGGTATATTCCTAATCACTGGTTTGTTTTAGAAGTCAAATCAAAAAGTATAATCGAAGCATCGTTACGGAAGGCAGTGAAGTTGATAATATCCAAGTATTGGTTTGTAGAGATTTGACTGATTGCTCACTGGCGACTGGTCCTATTCAGTTAGGTAGTTACCTGGGTTCTAGTGAGAAGTCGTGACCAGTAAGGTGCAGCAGGTCGTGTGTGAGGACAAATAATCGCCGAAGACATTGGCTAGCGATCGCGCTATGTCGTGAATTGGCAAAGGTTAGAATTCATGGGCCATTGATTTGGGTCCCAGTGGCTTAATGGTATACGAGCTCGCCTTGTAACCAGAAGGTCCTGAGTTCGAATCCCGGTGGGTGCGTGTTGTGAAGAGTCCCAAACTAGGATGAAACTGCTTTCCAGTACTCCCAGGTTTTCCAATGGTTCTCTAACTAATGTCAGATCATGATGAAAATCCTGTAACCAATCAAATCTCTACAAACCAACACTTGAATAAGCTACATTGATTGGTTTGCGTCAACAAGATTCATATGTAATCACACGATAAGTAACTTCCAAAACCTGCAACTTACCGTTATGTATGAACTATCGAATGTCTTTCCGAGACCCTATAAAGACTATGAATCTCTTAAGGCTGGCAGGATTTCACTGATTTAAAAAAAGACGCGAATGAAATCCAACTAAATTGCTTACAAATATAAAGTATCCAGGATGAATGAAATAATTCATTGGGGTAAATCTGATTATGAGCAGACATTATGAGGAAGTATAAAATCTTTCTAAAATCCAGATTAAAATTGTCAGATACTAATGAGCAGATATATGAGTACTTATTACAAAAACAAGAATGGTGTTGTACTGTGACCGAAATTAATAAATCCTGTGACTATTGATTGAATTTATTAATCTTGCTTCAGGACACATCTTAAAAATGAAGTCTTTGTGTATTTCATAGCATTAAACACGTTAACAAATATAGTCTATATAACATAAATTTGCCCTAAACCTTTTTAAAAAGTAGTCACAAAATAACTAACACGACCAAAAAGAACTGAGAAGGTTGTATACATCAGACGGTGAACAAAATTTCTGATGATTTCCAATTGAAGTTGAAGTGTTTATGCTACAAGTTATTAGTTCAGGGTAAGTCGTTAAATGAAAGAAGTGAATTAGATCACGAATCTCACCCGTCGTACATATATATGTATATATATACGTTTGCGTGATTAAGTAACACACGTAGTTTTGATCACATGTTGATAGGTCACTTTGAGTACTTGTCCTTGTCAACTGAATTTAAAACCACATAAAAGTAATATGCAAAAGTTGATTCATAACTCTGAATATTCTTTTAATATTAACATATGGTTACCAGCAATCAACAATTGTTTTTTTTTCAAAATTTTCAATGACCGCAAATAGAGGTGTAAACAAATTAAAGCTTGAAGTACATTCCATGCGGAAACCAAGGGATTGAAGGTTGGAACTACACACGGAGACAATGATATGTCATTTGCTTTGGCAAGTCAATATTCTGTCTTCTTTCAAAAGTCATTGATTGAGTTTATGTGTTACAATTGAAATTTGATTAGTTATAAAATGCGAATGCAAGCATTCAGGCTGTTATGAAATAATGTTTATGTTCAATAGACTGTTCAATAGAAACTAAGTGGAGAAGAAGCATTATTATGACTATACTGACAAGTGCTGTTAGTTCATTTTGTGTTTCAACTCCCTAGCTCCCTCCATAAAACTCTCCTTTGTCTCCTCCGTTACATTACATCTGTAAAAACGTATGCATCCAGAAAAACTGTGTACACTACAATATCGAGGGATCTAGCCACCTCAAGATAACAGACTTTTACAACCTCTAGTTAAACACTGAGATTAAGATATTGGAAGCTTAAAAATACTTCTAATTGACGTTTCCAGAACAATATAGAAGCATATGCGAACAACTACACATCATTTTTCCACAAGTCAGTTGTAAAAAAGAGTTGGTAATAAGAAATACTATTACTTCTGGATATTTTTTTTTACATTTCCTTCACGTTCCCCATGGAACATAAGGCTTCAAGCTGGAGGCTTGAAGTTTCTGTAGTAGTGTTTTATATTTACAGGATGGGGTTGCTAGTCTCATGTCCAACCTTCCCTCCTTACCAGTCTTACTACTGGCTAAGTGAGGTAAAGGAGTGCATCGGCCGGGGATCGAACCCCGAACCATATGCATGGTCGGCGACTTCTGGACATTCACTCTATAGCAATTATAGTGACACTTAAGGTTTATTCGAACCATCATGTTGGCTAATTTGTCGAGTTATGTATAAACTATGTAATTTAGACTATATAACAGAGGTATAAACGGCAAATGCTAGTTAATTAAAACAAGTGGCATAATATCTACATCAAAGACCAAGATACGCTGAGTCTCAATGCAATCACATACATCAAATCACTTTGCCGGTAATTGGACTGAAAGTAAGAGACCCGATGTATATTTCTTTTAGATAAGATCCCACATTTAATATATATACACTGCTTGAACTCGTATTTTCATGCCAGTAATGAGTTCCCGGACGATGAACTCCACCTGCGTCGGTAGCTTGGCGGTAGTATGCTCACCAACCAGGCTTCATGTGGTCTGGGGTCCGATCCCCAGTAAAGAGGGAAGGTTAGACATGAGGCTAGCAACCCCATCTCGTAAAAATAAACATCAGAACTACCGAAACTTCAAGCCTCTAGCCTGAAACCCTATGTCTCACTGGGAACGTCAGGGAATAACGAAAATATAAATAAATAAAATAACTTATAAGAACGAATAAAAACTTCCCGCTGATAAATGTCTTCGGAACTAACGTTAAAAACCAACGAAAGTGACTACTGTTTTGCATCACTTATGGTTACTTGGTATCGCATTCAAAATATTCAATTGAAAGAATTCATTGGAGCAACACAACATAACAGATATACTACTTCATCCAGGACGTGTAAAGTTAAAAAAAAAACAGGAGAGATTTAGTTGCAAAATTATAGTTTACAAATAAGCATTTCCGCCTTCAAGACTCACCTGTGTAACTCCTCGAAAAACACCTGTTGCTGTCCCACATTCTCCACAAATTAGTTGTCCAGTGTTTTCATCTTCAACAAGATGACGACTTTCACAAATCGGACAGCTCATTTTAGCTGTAAGAAAAAAAGTAACCAATACACTTTAAACTTTTTTTAATGTACTGAACCGGTAAACTAGTACGTATAGGATTTACCTTTTCCTATGTCAGAGTTAGCTAGTGTCACAATCGTAGTGGATAAACCGCTTAGCCTTGTAAAATCTAAAGATAACTCTTTATTACTCAGTGTCACTGAGCTATGAAAACCCTGGTTCCTTGTAAGTAATATTTACTTTTCCACAGGCGAACTGATTAGCCAAATGCTCTATGTTGTCTTAGTACTTTTTAAACAGCATATTTTTAGTAAATCAGAGGGGAGATTCAAAGTTATGAATTATATCCCTTTTCCAATTAAGGATGAGTAATAACTAAGAAATTTGAATACGAAATGTTAAACTTTAATTATTAGTTTACCTAGTTCAGCTGTAGGTGTTGATTAAAATTTTATTAGTCAATAACATGTTGCTGCTCGTCTCTTTCTTTGCTCCTGATGTGGCTTATTGGCTTTAGCGCTTGACTTCCAACAAATGAGTCCCAGATTTGAATCAGGCTCCACGTACTTCCACTAGGTATCATGATCAGCCCTCAAACAATGTGTGGGGCTCACGGCCAAGTACCTGATAATGAAGTTCCAACTATCAATTCTTGATGTTGATTAATATGGACAGAAACCCAGTTGGTGATCTCTATGACTTCACTAATAGCAATACAACCATATTTTAACATCATGTACAGATAATATGTCACTATATCTCACTGTAAACAAACTATAACACAAGAAGGAAAATTATGATGAAGAAACATCCTACTCCAAACGGTAAGCGTAATAAATTTTACTAAGAAAACAAACAGGAAATCATCCTTTTAATAAAACTCCAAGTGAACAAGTGATGCTAACATATCCATTTCAGTAAACATCATTGATGGAATATTTACAGCTACCGAATATGTTTTGAATATCCCGTAATAAGGGTTTAGGGGATTTGGTGGATTAAAGGGTTTGCATACAAACACCATATGAAACTACTTTATCTAAATGCAAGCCGAGTAATAAATTATGTTTTGGCTCACAATACACTCGTTCGAGAACACTTTGTATTATGTTACGAACACACCTTATGTAAGAGCGGGTAAAATCCCATTTTTAGGGCTTAATTAGTAATGAGGCTCATTTGGGCTTTACTAGGTGGATGACAACCGCTAAAGCTAATGAGGTGCAGACCGATAGTGTTCAGTCACTAACATGTTAAAAAAGCGCTAACTGAATTCCATAGCTGTTCGACATGGTATCATAAACATGAGAGAAATGCGTCTACTTGTGTAGTAAAAGTTACTAGTAATTTTAGCTGTACATTCGATAAATACGGCAAAATGCAATATCTGAAGCGTCTAGCGGTTTCTATTCAGTTTCATGTGAAAATGGCGTTTGTTTATTGAACCCTGTATAAAAAGATGTTACGTGATAATTAGCTAACATAGCACTATTTGACTAGAAAAGTATAGCACCTATGATAAGCAATACGAAGAGAGACATGAATGACTCGTTTACTTCAGAAATAATTGGTGCCATAAATAATAGAGAGCAAAGAATAAGAAGTTCAGCAAAGATATCTTATCGGCGATTTCATTCGCAAAAGCTGTACAATCGCATTTATATACATAAGTTTACATAGATACAATTATTCATTTGTGTATATACATGCGACTGTACAGCTTTTGAGAATGAAATCGTCATACATAATAGACAGCAAACTCTACGGGTGTCGGTGTACACAAAAGGCCACTCTCGCTTAAAAACAGGAAGAGATTTTTAAATAAAACGTTAAAATGAAAGTAAGCAGACTTTATCAAAACAATTTCAGAACACCAGTGAGATTTCAACCGCAAGGTTAGAGAAGGGTTCTAAATGGAATACATCTGTATTTTATGGTCATTTTTATATTTTTACTTCAATTTCATCAACTTTGAAAAGGACTTCGATAGAGTTGACTATGAAGTCATTTGGAAACTGCCTCAATACTACGGAGTGGACCAAACTTCTGTCAACCTCATTCACCACTCATACCATTATGCCACATGTCAAGTGGTTCACAAGGGAAAACTTAGAGGTGCTATTGTGGTGGAAAGAGTAGTAAGATAAGGTTGCCTACTATCACCGATGATATTCGTGATTTCGGTGGACTGGATTATGCGGCAGACTGTAGGGTAGGAGAAAGGAAGAACGAGGTGGGTCGACAAGAAGACTAGAAGATTTGGACTTCACGGAAGCAGTGTGTCTAATGTTACACAAAGTATAAAATCGACGGGAGAAAACCAAAAAGTTGGCACGAGAGGCAGGAAGAGAAAGCAGAACTTCAACTGAAGATAGAGAAGACAGGTGATGAAGACACCCGACCCGACCAACAATCACTATAAACAAGAGAAATATGAGTGATACATCTTTCACCTATTCAGGGAGCATCAGCTACAGTCAGACAGGCGTACGTTACAGATAACAGCTGCCCCTAAAATTCCATCGATTTAGAGACACCTGAAATGCAGGTTGGGTTTAAAACCGTTAAATATCCTAGAATTAATATGTCCAATGATGACACTTCCCCTATTGCCAGATGAGTTTTTACTTGTAATTTGTTTCACACTCTTACTTCAAGCAGTGTCCAGCCAACCTTTAAAACTTCATCACCAAATTCAGCAGCTGGAACATCCAAGTCGTGATTTGTGATCACTTAATTCAAGTAACAGAAACAGTTGCGAAAGACGTACTGAACAAATTGAAGAAACTCTGGGGTCGAATCCAGATAAGTGAATTATCCTCTTGGCCTTCATCTATATGACTTCAGAAGCGATCAATGACCTTATCAAGTTAACTGCAGAATTAGTCACTTCAGTTAAGTAGCAAAGGTCATTGAAGAATGAGGTGCTAAGATTCACTGATTCATTTGATAAGAATTTCACCACTGAAACTAAAAAGGATTTAATTCTCCTCGACCAGTTACTGAAAGATATCAAAAGAACAGACACCTTTGTAAGCCACACTTTAAGTGTAAACATTTGCAGATTCTGCACCTGAGTAGTTTTCTATCTATCAAAGCTAGAAAAAGCATGAGAAATATTTTGAACTGCATTGTGCACCCACCGAACCGTAGGGTAAAGAAACCTGGATTAAGGAATCCCGCTTCCTTTCAAATTACTAACTAGGCACTGAACAAGTATCTTGACGTCTAGACCTAATAAAATTGCATTTTGCCAGAGAATTCCAAGACGAAGTTTAGTTCAAGAAGGAAACAGATACAGCAACAAAGAATTATCTTCATGACTTGAGAAGTAAATTCCGACGTATGAGAAAAAAGGTATGCCATACTGAATAGGAAAATAATTCTGATTGTTATTAAATGTTAATGGTTTCCCATTTTCATATTATTATTATTTCATAATATTAATGTATTAGCCTCATACTCCACAACTACATACTTTATGAACTAACTTTTGATTAATTTTTGGCATGATTCAGTGGTCGCAATGCAAATAATACATTATCACCGATGAGTGAGAACCCATTTACGATTTTGTTTGTGAACTAAGCATAGATACGTACCTCATTAATGTCTTCTATTTCTGTATTACAAAATCTCACTGTAGACATTGAATCATAAAGGAAAACAGACAAATGGATCAGAAGAAATGCATGAGTATTTGACGCGACACATTTAAAACTGTACTTATGTTAAAGGTGATATTTTCTAACTAATGCTTTACTGTGTATACATCTATTATAGCCTGTGCAAAAAAGGAACTTCCCCATTATCCAGTTTTATTTGTGCAATTTGGAGGTATGATTTCCAGGGGGTTTTACGAGGAATTCTGAGGAATTTTCTGGTGGAAAATGCAGCATTTCTACAGCATTTTCCCACAAAAGTTTTAGCACTGCAGATTTTCATCGACAGCTGCCTTCGTTAGTACCAAACCGAAGGTCAGATGAAGAAGAACACTAACAGCGAAGCCATCAAGAACCTACTGCACAACAAGTATATATGACGGAGAGATGGATCGGATACATGCTAAGACTGCTGAGTGACATAACACGCCAGTCCCTCGAGAACATCTCAAATGAGAAACAAAAGGCTGAGTAAGGGACCACAAGTAACTAGGAAAAGCTCGTGTGAGGAGGAGACAAAAGCTTGTGGACATTCGTTGAGCCAACTAGAGACGACTGCATGCTTATGTTTTACTCGGAAACTACGGGAATAATAATCGCTATTATTATGGCTTTCATCAAATAACAATATGTGCATCCCTAACAGAAGTGCTGAGTAGTTCATGTGAAAAAAGCCTTGTTAAGGATGGTTACTGAGGTTACTCACATCTAGTATCTACTCAAGAGTAGCGTCCCATTTAAAAATGTCACGACGTCCACTAAAGTTCAGATTACGATCTCGATTGGAAATGTGTGAAGTTCGAGTCCGCGTTAATCCTTTTTTGGTCAAGTTGCGTCGGTGGCACAATGGTTAGGACTCTCGACGACCATGCACATGGTCCGGGGTTCGAGCCCACACCGGCGCACACCAGATATCTATGGTCGGCCTGCGAAATTCGGGCTACCGATATCCACGCTGAAAATTCCATACTTGTACCAAAAATACAGTGTGGAATCAAGCTGTTACCAAAAAAAATAAACTTGAAGCACCACTAACTACCAATCAGCGAGTGACCTCGAATGGTCTAATGAGGTTCATGCACGTGAGTTCAAGGTTGTTTAACGCTTGATTCAAATCAAATGTGTGCTCTAACAGAGTTAGGCTTGCGATTCGTTGACGACAAGGTTCCACAGTGTTGCCTGGATTTGAGGTTGCTTAGGAAGGGGAAGATTTGTTCATTTAGAGGTAGCATGAGTTAAGAAATCTTAAGCAGTTCGATTGATGGAAATGTCCATCGTTATGCAATTTGTTTGAGACGAGCTAATATTAGTAAAGGTGAGCTGATGATCTTAATATTTCGTAGGAACGTCTTTTGCTAGGTCTCATCTCTTCCTAACCCAGATTAATTACTGGATTTTAAAACAGCCTGTCAGAGGTGCAGCTGCTGAAACCGAATATAGCCTCGTGTCCGCAGTTAAATCGTACCAGCACTGCAAAGATATTGCCCCATGGAAAATGTAGAAAATCACTTTGTTGTTAGGCGGGGAAGGTGTAGTCATGCACGTGGACGAAACTGTCTTATTGAAGAAAAAATACAACTGTGGTTGTGAGCTAGCCTACAATGTTTGGGTGATCAGTTTATAATAATAATAAAGTATATTTTTCATATAAACATATAAATTTATGTGACACTTCCCTGAAGAAACGATTCGTGGAAACAACGCCAGACAGAAAGTCTACTACCTTAGTACCTATTGCCACTCGACTGATGATACAGGGTCTATAGTACATGCTGATGAGTGGAAAAGTCATAACTCGCTGTCATCCATCAAACATATTCATCACAGAGTGAACCATTCAAGTGATTTGTGTATCCAATTACAGAGACACACACAAGTATTATGAAAGGACTTCGGGGAAGATTAAAAAATAGGATTAGCGCTGTAAATGGATCTCAAGAGGATGTAATTTATAGTCATTTGTGGATGAATGCATGTGCAGAATGTGGTGTAACTTTTCTGTTGACACTCTATCAATGTAGTTGAAGATTGAACGGTCAATTCATGGTTGTTTGCTCAAACCCAACTCTATATTTCGGCGGGAGTCACCGATACTGCAGTCATCGTTCCATCGTTCGCTGTTCGTTGGAAGACGGAGTAAAACTATCGGAAGTTGTCAGGGGAGTAAGACGGGAGAGAATGTAAAGAAGTAAAACGACAAGTTTAATTGTCTACCCCTGAATGGTGTATGTGATTTTAAGGGGATAGGCCATTTGGATGCAGTCCTTGTGTCGTTGCATGGCTTTCCACCCTTCGCTTAGAGGCGTTCAAATACGGTGCCATAGCTACATCTGCCGGTAGAGAATTCCAGGGACGGCAAACCCGCAGTGAAAAGAAGTAGGAGCGCACCCGGGCCCTTGCCCTCTGGTGAGCTATCCTTCTGAGATTTCCACGACGTAGCCTATACTCAATGGCAGAACGCCTTTGTTTGGGTGACTCTGGTCATTTGTTATTTTGTAGGCAGCAATTAAATCCACCCTAAAGCGTCGGTAGCTAAGTGTGAACCGGCCTAATTTCTCAGCCTTGCATCATATGGTTTACTTCGGAGACCAACCACTCCTTTTGTTGCCCGTCGTTGGACTCTTTCCAAGAGGTTGACGTCTCTTCTAAGCACTGGGGGTGCAATAGTATTATGCACCTCAAGGTGTGGCCTGACGCATGTTTTGTACAACCTTAGAAAGAGCTAGGGAGTGAGTGGAAAGTGTGTGACCGCATTTGCCCTCGCTACATCCCCCGTGTAATTTACACTTGTGTCCATTTTTTCCGTTAGAACTAGACCTAAGTCGTGTTTCGACGTTGTGCAGGACAAGCCTTCCCTGCAAAAGGTGTAACTGGCATTCTGTGGTTTACAGGTGCGCAACTTCACTACTTTGCACTTTTCAGGTTGAAAGTCATGCCACTGGCCACCGCCCAGACTTCCAGAAGGTTTAGATCTTCCTGCAGCACTCTAGGCTTCGAGTTGCCCACCAGTGGCTACCATTTCCAAAAACAAACGTTCAGTGTTCACCTTCATTGACAGTAACCTAATGAACGAAATATTCCCATATTGAGTCATAAGAAAAGGCACAAACAGCGAAGAAAATTTTCTTTTCGACGATTCATTTTCATGAGCTGTACAATCGTAATTATAATTAAACACATAAGTTTTTGACCAATCAGATACTGGTAAACTTTGTCCTTGAAAATTCTACTACATAGTGTGAGGTGTAAGAAGGGATGACTAATTGTAAGTTAGAAAGGAGACAGAAGTTGGCATGACCTAATAAGTGTGAGATAATGACTAATCAATAAGCTAGTGTAGTGTAGTGCTTCACAGTGGTACACAGAGTCCCTCAATATAGTACAAAAGGACTCCGGATACGACGTCTGTACATAGCTGAGGCATTAACTATTCGTGACATAAAACCGGACCTATGCATACAAAAACGATACATACATTCTCTAGCCCTACCATGGCCAGAGTAAATTTCTGACTATAATTTTTCTCCTCTCTTCTAATATGTAAGTTCACTATTATTATTATTACTGTTCTTAATACTTTTATTATTATTACTATTCCCACCATCCATATTTTATTACTACTCTATGACTGTTTATTAATAACATTGCTTTTTCACACAGATCTTATACAAAACTACTGTATAACCTCTCCACTAGTTCCTGTCCTCTCTGCACTAGCTTACTGATTAGTCATTATCTCACACTTATTAGGTCATGCCAACTTCCGTCTCCTTTCTAACTTACAATTAGTCATCCCTTCTTACACCTCACACTATGTAGTAGAATTTTCAAGGACAAAGTTTACCAGTATCTGATTGGTCAAAAACTTATGTGTTTAATTATAATTACTATTGTACAGCTCATGAAAATGAATCGTTGAAAAATAACCTAATGGTTGGTTCTATATTGGTGCAAGAATAAAGGATTCTTGAGTCACCAATCTGTGTTGTGGTTTTTGCGTTGGTTATTGAACATAGTTACTGAAAGTCTTCCAAGGATAGCGTGAAGTTTGACCTTAACATTGACACACTCATATGCTAAACTGGGAGATGGTTTTGTCTCATTTTGGAGAAAGGTAACCTATGTGACAGTCTTATGCAGTCACTGTGCATTTTTCACAAATATACGCGTCAGCCAACTGTAAGAAACTGTCAATATTCAGCTCTCACTACACTGGACCTCATGCTGTACCTGGAAGACGTTCAGAAACACTTTGTAATGACCAACACGAAAACCAAAACACAAATTGGACACTCGAGAATCCTTTATTCTTACGCCAATATGTAACCAACAATAAGGTTATTATACACAAGGTCTAAGAATAAATGTTATGAAAATAAATCACGGTAATACTTCTGATAGTTTTCTCTCTTCCACTGAACAGCGAACGATGATACGATGACTCCTGGATTGATGACTCCCGCAAAAAATATGGAGGAGTTGGGTTTGAGCAAACAAACATGAATTGATCGTTCAATCTTCAACTACATTGAAAATACGTTTTCGCTGATGAAAAGTACCTCTTTCAACTACATTGACACTCCGAAAAAAAGAATCAACAGCAAAACCAACACACCACAAGCATACCCACAGCACAATCACACTCATCGATGACGACCTACGCCTTCCAGTTACAGGCATCCAATTGACAACTCGCAACACAATAGCCACTTACTAGATTGACTCTTGCAGAAAGCAACGTGATCATAGCAGCACCTCAGGGTACTGTTCGCATATCCTCTTATCTATTCACTACCAATTACCACTGCGATCGATTGTCACACATTCTGCCTCAGTTCTAGTAACGGTGATGTATGCGAGCTTCAGTCGTCTACACTCAAACTACCCGGCGTGTGGGACCACAGCTAACAATTATCTCCGTGTGCATATCATTCTGAGCAACAGCCTAGCCTCCTCGGCGTACATGACCCATCTGCTGTCTTTAAAATTAATCAATTCATTCACGGATGTTGTCCGTGGAGTTGAAGATTGAACGATCAATTCTTGGTTGTTTGCTCAAAATCAACTTCCCCAATTTTCGCGGAGGCATCAATACGACAGTCATCGTCTCATCGGTCGCTGTTCAGAAAGAAGAGTGAAACATCGTCAGAAGTAATACAATGATTTATTATTGTAATATTTGTTTTCAGACCTTAGTTCGCTTATTCCTTTTATATGTTGGTGTAACAATAAACAAATCTAAAGCGGCAGATCAGTGTTTTGGTTTTTGCGTCCGTTATAACTAAGCGTTCGCGAGAAATCTTCGAAGAACAGCGTGGGCCCGAGCGTAGCGAGAGCTGGGCATTAACGGTTTATGAGACGTGATTGACAGTTTCTGACGATGGAAACAGATCTGGCGGATTCAAACAGTTGGTGAAAGTTTGGATAGTCACCGTTCATCTTTCCTGGTGCCGGTCAAGTCCTCTTTGAACAAGCAATATCTGGAACTTTTTGGAATTGGGTCAAGTTCAACAATGCCTGGGTCAAAGAAGGGACAGAGTGTCTTGGATGCAAACAGGAAAGTAAGTCATGGTGACTTGTCTGTTAATTGTAACGATGTGTCTGATGTTAAGCATGACATGGTTGATGTTACTGTTTCGCCGTTCAGGGATAATAGGAACATCAAACTCCCTAAATTTGAACCACGGTGTTTTGATGGAAACCCGGCTGATTATTTACAATTTGTAAAG